TTCGAGGAAGACCTCGGTGAGCTCTTGCCTCTCCAGGCTGGAACCAACATTTAGAAGTTGAAATACCAGTTTCCAATGTTTTGAGATGAGAAGAAAGGAGTCAAGAGGGTAGATAAGGGGAGCAGGTGGTACGTGGAGCCTGGGGCAGCATTGGCCCTGCACCCCACTTCTCTTGGGCTCCAGGCTCCGGGCCCAGGGCCTTTACCTGAACTGTGGGGCAACTGAGTAAACAATTCTGTGAGGCTCTTTGTGGGCCCAGGGATGACTCAGCGCCTCCCCACCCTGGAAGCGTCTCAGTCAGGTGGGGTGGCCCCAGGACTGATGATTGGTAAAGAAGAGCAGGGGGAGAGGGGGAGGGGCTTTCCCAGGAAGCCTTCCTGAAAGGCTGGGGTTTGGATGAGGACTTAGGGAAGGGTACTCTGCACAGAGGGAATGGCCCCAGCAAAATCTTGGAGGGGAAAAAGCTCTAGCAAAACCAGGGAAGGTGGTGGCAGTTCTGAGGCATCTCGCTTGGCTGGCAGATGGACGTATGCCTAAGGTATAGGAGGATTCTTGAGGGCCAGGTTGAGGCAGATCCAGGAAGGCCCTGAAGGCCATGCTAAGGTTTGTCTTTATTCTGCAGACCAAGAAGAGCCACTCATGGCCCATGAGGCAGGGTCATTCATTTGCTCACAAATCTTTATTGAGCACCTACTGTGTGCCAGGCGCTGCTCCAGGTGCTGAAGACACTGCACTTAACAGAGTCCTACTGGCAAGGAGCTTACATTTTAATAACTAATATTATAGCTAATGTTTATTGAGTATTTACCATGTGCTGTGCATGTTCTAAGCACCTTATGAATAGCATGTCAGTTAATCTTCACAATGACTTAAGAGGAGTTACTATTATTATCCTTATTTTGCAGATGGGGAAACTGAGGCACAGAGGGGGTTAAGTGACTTGTCCATAGAGAACTATAAAGAGATAGAGCAAGACATGGACTTAGCCCTCTGGGCCAGGTTGCTTGCCCTAAACCATGAAGCTTCTCTGATCATATACTCCTCTTTGCCCCCCAACTGGACCCACAGACTAACTCCAGACCCCTCCAGGCCAGCCCCACGTTGGGCATCTGGGGGTGTGGGCCAGCTCAGTTTGGCATCAGTGACTCAGAGCAGGGGTTGTCTGGCAGAGTCCACCATGTGAGAGGTCCAGAGGTACACTATTTCAGAAGAATAGTGGGGGGCTACTTCCCACCAGGATGGCCCAGCAGGGATGTGGAGGGGTGGGGGGTGCTTCCTACTACTGTCTTTGCCTGCACAGCCTGGCGAATGGCACCAAGAGGCAGGCAGGGCTGGGCCATTCTCCCCATTTAACAGATGGGGCATCTGGCACTGCTGAGGGCTCAACACCCCCCCCCACACACACACACAGCCTGAGGATAGCAAGGGGGAAACAGCATCTAACAGGGGCACCTGGGGAGAGGCTGGGAGGGTGCTCTCCTAGCTGCTGCTAGTCTGCTAGCCCCTCCTAGTTCCTCCATGGCCCTGGGACCCAGTCATGTGAAGGGAAAATTGGGTTGTCTGGGGTCTTGATGGGATTGAAGTTTGAAGAAGACCAGGCCTGAGCAGACAGAGCTTGGTAATGCCCAAAAAACCCTCACAAAAACCACCTGTGAGGACAGCAGAGCCTTTTTGGGCAGGGATGATTTTGGCTAGTGGCTCTGGGGTCACAATGAAGGGGTGAGCTTGTCAATGGGATGAGGGCATCCAGCCTAACAATCAGAACGTAGGATGCCAAGTTCTCTCAGGTGACTTTGGCCAGGGAAGGCAGCGGGACAGGGTGGGAAGGCAGAGCAGCTTAGGAGTTAATGCAGGAGGGGCCAAGCAGGGGGCCAAAAGCCAGACCACCTGAGTTCAAAGCTGCCACTTCCCAGCTGTATGACCATAAACTAGTCACTCAACCTCTCTGTGCTTCAATTGTCTACTCTGCAAAATGGGAATAATAATTGTACCTTCCTTCTCAGGTTATTTGAGAATCACAAGAGAGTTAATGCGCTAGAGGGTGCATGGCATCTGGCGCACTCAACACTAATAACTCTGCTATAGTTATTCTAGCTGCGGGGTACCATCTTATATGCTTTGCATACAATACCTCCCCATTCATCTCTGGAGATAGTGTAGGTAAAGCGCTTGGGACATAGTAGGTGCTCAGTAAATGTGGTTCTTATTAATAATGATGATAATCCTCACAGCAGCCCTTTGGGGCGGGGCTGGGTACCCCATTTTCCAAATGAGGCTCAGGACCCCACAGGGAACCATCTGCTCAGGCAAGACTAGAAGCATGTGCATTGCATGTACAGGGATAGGCAGGGCATCTCCTGAGAGCTCATGGTGGGCTGAGCCTTCCCCAGGGGAGTGGGTAAGGGTAAAAGGGGAACCTTGTAGTAGAGGCTAGGTCCGGGGAGAAGGGGGTACCACCCAGGATCGGCTAGGTTATGCTGCAGTAACAAACCCCATATCTCGATGGCTTAAGACAATACAGGTCATTTCTTGCTCACACTGTATAACTATGTCAGCGGCAGGTCATCTGGGGGTTCCGTGTCTCCTGTACTCTGTGATTCTGGTTCACAGAGCAGACACCATCTCACAGGTTGCTGGTTACTGTGCCAGAGGGACAAAGAGCTCTAGATCTGCACTGTCCAATACGCAGCCACTAGCCTGTCTAGTTATTTAAATTTAAATGAATGAGAATTAAGTAAAATTTAAATTTAGCTCCTCAGTCACAGTAGCCACATTCCCAGTGCTTGATAGCTGCGTGCAGTTGGTAGCTGCTGTATGGGGCAGCTGGAGGGCACTTCCATCACCACAGAAAGTTCTAGTGGACAGTGCCCTTCTAAGTTGAGAGTCTCCTGCCACCACGTTGGTGCCCCTGCCCAGAACTAACATGCATCCTTCTTTTTGTAACTTGCACAAGGGCCAGGAAATGCGGTCCTACTATGTGCCCACAAGGTGGGAAGAATCAGAAGTATCTGGGGAACGAATGACCACCAAAGAGTGGATCCTGAGTCAGATTTTGAGTCAGAATGCAGAAGGGGAGAACTTGAGAGACCACCGAGACAGGCAGAGGGCAGCTTGCGGGGAACTCGAGCTGCTATGTGCACTGTGACATGCTTCCCAACCCCAGGTCTTGACCCTGCCCAGAAAAAAATGGCCTTATACAGTGGCCTAGGGGCTACATGCCTGACAGAGGGGAGGGGTGAGGGAGACAGCAGGAGGGATTCAAGTGAGCCTTATGGATAAACTCTTCTTTTGGTCAGGAACCCTGAAGACCTTCATAGATGTAGGGGCTTTAGAAGTCTCTCCTGGGTAGAGCATGGCAGAAGCAGGCTGATGTGTGCCATGAGGTTGGAACTATTCTCGATGACCTCTAAAGGACCCTGCTCCATTGGAGAATTGGCCCAGAAAACCAGGCCTGGCCTTCCCCCTGCCTTTCCTGTTCACTTCAGCTAAATAGATCAGAAGGAAAAAGTCTGTTTGATTTTAATCTCAACGCAGGACACTGGAGATTACATTTTCCACGGAAAATGTCAGCTGTTGCCTAAAATAGGACTAGGGAGAAAATGCTAGAAAATGTATTTTTAGGTTATATGTTTCCCTCCTGGATTCCTGCAGTCCAGTGGGCTCCTTGATACTCTCCATGGTTTAGCTGCAAGGTGCCCCAGATCTTCCAAACAGGTGGTCTGGGGAGAGGGCTCCCACAGGAAAAATGTTTGCAGATACTTGAGCTAAACACAGGTGGACAGTTACAAGGACCTGTGTCAAGAAGGAGGAAGAGGAAGAGAGAGCCAGCCTAGGGTAGAGGCTCAGAGTCTGCATTGCTGACAAGCTCCCAGGTGATGCCAATGTTGCTGGCCTGGAGACTGGACTCAGTAGCAGGGCTCAGGTAGGCTCAGTCTGGGAGGAGCCCCAGACAGGCCTCAGCAGGGCCTAAGCTCAGCCTATGGAGAGAGAGGCCCATTGGAATCCACCCTTTGAGGCCCAGCTCCTGCCCCTTCCCATAGACCTGCCTACTTGCTGCGTGACCTTGTTCAAGTCACTTTTCCACTCTGGATCTCCATTCTTGCACCTGTGAAACAGGGTGAGCATTCCTGCCCTGTCACCCCTTAGGCTGTTGGGAAGATTCAAAGACTTCAGGTACCGAGGCAACCAGCTCTGCCTGGAATAAAAGGTGCTTCAGGAAATGTAGGAGATAAAAATAGAGCTTATAAAGTGACAGCAGGTCCTGGTGGTGTTTGGGAGCATCATTCCTCAAAATTTTCTGTGGTTTGCAGACTGGGCATGTAGGATGGGTCTTGCCCTGAGTGGAGGGTCTGGGAGGGAACAAGTTGAGACTCAACCTCTAGGAACTGAACCATGGTAGGTTACGCTGCCTGGGACGCTGGCTGCTGAGGTCATGTCCAAGGGAACCCCAGGTAGGGCGGGGCTCAGCTGGCTGGCCGTGCTGCAGACCTTATGTCAGTGCTCCCAGAGGAGCAGGTATGTCAGAGGGAGCCTGAGCCAATGTTCTCAATTTGAGGGAGGGCCACCCTTGCCATGGCTGTGGGGGACATTGAATAGGATTGTGCAGCCATCTGAGGAAGAGCAGTGCCCGAGAGCTATCAACTCCCTGGTGACCTCAGGGGACCCATCTCTTCTCTGATGTGCTCCGTTTCTCCTCTGTACGTGGGGGGATAGGGGGGTTCTAGAAGGGCCCTCCTGGCTCTGATCTTGAACCAAGGTGAGCCAGGCCATACCAGACCTTCCTTAACCAGGGTGGGGTGAAGTGAGTGGAGGAGTGGAAGCCTCTGGGCTCAGACCATCCATTCTGTGACCTTAGAGAGCTGTGGGGACGTGTCTAGACCCTCATGGTGGCCTGGGTAGGCACAGTTGGGAGGGACTGCTGAGACACCTCCACAGTCCCACTGCATAACTCATTTATCTCTTGTCTCCTCATGGCTCCTGTGACTGCCTGGATCCTGCAGAGCTCCCAACTGAGGAAGGTGAGGCTTGGGCCAGGGCGGGCTGCAAGGCCACCAGGTGACAGCCTTGGACTGTTCACTTTCAGGTTGTGTCCTTCCCTCTCCCCAACAGAGTGAGGCTTGCCTGAGCCTCCCAGTATCACCCACCTGTGCCTCTAGGGCCTCAGGCTCTTGCCCTTTGAATGGTAGGGAGGGAGTGGGCCAGGTGGTCTCCGAGGTGGTTTCAGCTCTGAATGGGGGCAGGTCAGTCGGTAAGGGACCCAAGCTTCACATGGTGCTCCGGTTCTCAGGGAAGTCCCTGTGGGAGCTGGTGCTGGAGCAGTTTGAGGACCTCCTGGTGCGCATCCTGCTGTTGGCTGCCCTGGTCTCCTTTGTAAGTAAGGCCCCCATCCCCCAGCATCAGAAAGCCTGGAAGGGAGAGCCAGGTTGGGCCAGTGCTCAGAGGCCCAGACTCTGAACCACAGGTCTGTCCTCTCAGCTGGGGACATCCCCGGGCCTCTACCCACCCCCTGCCTTGCTCAGACTTCAGCTTCCCTTGCCTGAAACCTCGAAGCCTGCCCCCTACACACTGGACTCCCGGCTCCCATCTGTCCCCTTCCACTCTGGCTGTCAAAGTGAGCTTTCAGAAGCACAGGTCTAATCCCCACCCCTCCCTGCCTTACGGCCAGGTTTCTCAACCACAGCACTATTGACATTTTAGACCTGATAATTATTTGTATGGAGGCTGTCCTAGGAGCTGGAGAAGATTTAGCAGCATCTGTGACCTCCATCCACTAATGCCAGTGGTACCCCCAGTTATGATAATCAAAAGTCTCCAGATGTTGCCAAATTGTCCCTCGTGGAGAGCCCCTCCCATGGCTGCCAGTGCCCCACAGAAGAATTTGGGCCTTAACCTCTTACAGCTTGTCTGTGCTGCTCTCCCCGATTCTTACTGCCTGAATGCCTCCTGGACCTGCAGGGCCACGGGGCCAGCATGGGGCCGTGGGGTGGGGCACAGTAGCTCTCACTGATGGCTGAGCAGCAGAAACTCAGGTTGGTGACATGGAGTGCAGGGAAGCAGGGGCCCAGCCAGCTGTGTCTGGCCTTCCTGGCAACTGTTCTTGTGGAAACTGATGACTCTTAACTGAGAAAAAAAAAGCCTATTGGTGCAGGGGCCTTACAACAGCCGAGCCCAAATGGTGCCGGTCCCCCTCCACAGTTCCAGTGGACCCACTGAGACCTGTGGAAGGGAGTGACAAGTACCCAACTGGGCCAAGAGGTGGGAACAGAACTTTAACCAGGTATTCTGCCTCCAGGCCTGGGATCTGGCTGGAATTATGCTTCTCTGGCCAATGGACTTCAAGCTCAAGCCTGTAACGGGATCACCTGGGTTTGTTAACACATAGACTGCTGGGCCTCAGCCCAAAGTTCCCGACACGGGAGCACCAGGATAGACCCTGAGAATTGCATTTCTAACAAGTTCCTAGGTGATGCTGTGGTTGCCAGTCTGGCATCACACTTGGAAAACCATAGCCAGGCAGACAGTGAGACCTCTAGCTGTACAACTGCCCCACATCCTGAAAGTTGGCTGGGTGGGACATGGACAGCGGTAGTCACTACCTGCAGATGAGCCAAGATCTCAGAGCAGCCCTCTCCAAGCCCAGCGCTCCCCAGGTGTATCTCTCCTAAAGCAGGAGACAGCAGACCCAGGGTATGAAGGAGATGGTGAGCAGACCCTGGCCCACAGCATCGCCCCAACTCACCAGCTCTGACTCCATAGGTCCTGGCCTGCTTTGAGGAGGGTGAAGAGACAGCAACAGCCTTCGTGGAGCCCCTGGTCATCATGCTGATCCTCGTGGCCAATGCTGTCGTGGGCGTATGGCAGGTGGGAGGCACAGAGCTGGGCCTGGGCCCCCGGGTCTCCCAACTGCTCCATGTGACTGCCACTTGGTGTTAGAGTCCTGGAGGTCCTTCTGCTTCTAGCTCCATCCCAGGCCCCAGGGGTGTCATTACAAGGGGTCAGCCTACAAGGGCCAGTGGGGATGACCACCTACCTGCCTCATGTTCTACAGGAACGCAATGCTGAGAGTGCCATTGAGGCCTTGAAGGAGTATGAGCCTGAGATGGGCAAGGTGATCCGCTCAGACCGCAAAGGTGTGCAGAGGGTCCGTGCCCGGGACATCGTCCCTGGAGACATCGTGGAGGTGGCAGGTATATTGGGGGCCTCTTTTCATTATGTGATGCTCGTGAGCCGATCCCTGTCTGTGCCCCCATCTTTCTGGCTCATACACAGCAGGTAGCTGTCGGATCCTTCCAAAGCTCTTCGGCCAAAACCTTGTTGGACAGATCAGGAGACTGTAGGAGGGAGCAGCATCTATCTCAGGGATCAGAGCCCAGGCCCCTGCCTCTCAGCCCTAGCCTTGGCTCCTGGCCGTCCTCCTGGCTCTGCCAAGGGGTGGTGCCCAAAGCCACACTCAGCCACTCTCTCTCCACAGTGGGGGACAAAGTACCCGCCGACCTCCGCCTCATCGAGATCAAGTCCACCACACTGAGAGTGGACCAGTCCATCCTGACAGGTGAGGCCCAGAGGCTAGGGCAGAGCAGGGGATAGGTCCAAGGATGGGGGTGTCTTCATGTGGGGCTTCTCATTTCTGATTCCATGACCAGGTGAATCTGTGTCTGTGACCAAGCACACTGATGCCATCCTGGATCCCAGAGCTGTGAACCAGGACAAGAAGAACATGCTCTTCTCTGTAAGTTCCTGGGAAGGCTGGGGCCTTTGTCTAGACACTGATAATAAAAACTTTAACATTTAATCAGTTAAAGCCCTACCAGAAAGAACCTCCTCGATTATTGACAATATGTACACATTTATAGTACTGGTAATAGCTTGTGTTTACTGAAGGCTGTGTGCCTGGCACTGTTCTAAGCCCTTTACGTGTATTTAAGCCTCGCGGTGCTTTTAAAGTAAGTACTTTTGTTATTTGCATTTTCCAGGTCACACAGCCAGTGAATTGGTAGTGCTGGGATGTGAACTGAGACATTCCGACTCCAGAGCCTTTCCTCTTGCCTGCTAGGCTTATCCTGCTTTAACCTGGAGAGGGATAGAGCTAGCCTATAATCACTCAGTGGAGAATCCTCTAGAGATAAGGGTTGTCAAAGTGGTGGAGGATGGCAGAAACAGTCCATTTCTCAGATGGGAAAACCAACCCCCTGAGGCAAGATGCCAGGGCCCAATGGCTCTTTTCAGGGCGAGTGGTGGGCTCAACTCTGGTGGGAATGATATGCCTCTGTGGCCTCAGAGGGACTTAACCATCGATAACTTACAGGCTGCCCAGAAACAGCCTGAAGCTGAACATGGGAGCCATGAGGATGGGTCAGGCCATTCGGCCGTGGCCCATGGCACCAAGTTATAAGGCTAGAAAACCTCCCCAGAAGTGAACAGAAATGGAGAAAGCGATATTTGCCCAGAGTTCTTAAGGGGAGCACCCTGCCTAGATGCATGGAAGCCTTGGACCAGCTGCTTTGAAGTGGGGAGGGGGGTGTACAGGGCATGTTCAAGCATCAGTAGCTGTCATGAGGTAGCTTTCTAAGGGAGGTGCTCCGGCTAACAGCAGGTCATTTCCTTAGCTGAAGGGCCTGCAAAGGGGTGGGGGCATGGGGGGGTGGACGAAAGAAGCTGAGATTGCCGGTGGCACCTACCTTTTCTCCAGCCTCAGCACAGGGCACCTGTCTGAAGGGGTACCAGCTTATTAGCCTCCGCAGAGCAGCAGCTTTGTTGAACCATTTTATAGAAGAGGACACAGATGCTCCAGGCTAGCTAGCCTTTATACCAGGACTTAGGGATTTTACCAGGGCCTTGGGAGTGGATGGACGTAAACTCAAGTTCTCTGGATTCTTCAGTAAATATTTACAGATTGTTTACCTAGGATCACAGTCAGCCTGGCACTCCGGTGTGGCCACATTGGCTTTTTATGAATCGCATTTTTTGAAGTTGGTATTGTGCTGTGCTAGGTGATCACACTGTCAGTATTGGTACAGTGCTTCCTGTGCCAGGCCCCATGACAGGCACTGGGGATATGGTGCTGCAGCGAGTCCTGCCTGGCCTTGGCGGAGTTAGCACTGTCATGGGGACGACTGCCAAAGCTCAGCACTGGATAGCTACGTAAGGCTGGGAGCACTGAGCGACATGGAGACAAAGGAAGCCCAATAGGGGATAAGAACGTTGCCCTAGCCTGAAGGGGTTGGGGTCCTGGGCTCCCGCCGGGATGCTAAGCAGCCCTTCTCGTCTCTCCCCCGGCCAGGGCACCAATATCGCTTCGGGCAAGGCCCTGGGTGTGGCGGTGGCCACAGGCCTGCGCACGGAGCTGGGCAAGATCCGGAGCCAGATGGCGGCGGTGGAGCCGGAGCGGACGCCACTGCAGCGCAAGCTGGATGAGTTCGGGCGGCAGCTGTCCCGAGCCATCTCTGTGATCTGTGTGGCCGTGTGGGTCATCAACATCAGCCACTTTGCTGACCCAGCCCATGGCGGCTCCTGGCTCCATGGCGCTGTCTACTACTTCAAGATTGCTGTGGCCCTGGCCGTGGCTGCCATCCCTGAGGGCCTTCCGGCCGTTATCACTACCTGCCTGGCTCTGGGCACACGGCGCATGGCACGCAAGAATGCCATTGTGCGGAGCCTGCCCTCCGTGGAGACCCTGGGCTGCACCTCAGTCATCTGCTCCGACAAGACTGGCACACTCACCACCAACCAAATGTCCGTCTGCCGGGTGAGAAGCTGCAGTCGGCTTGGGGTCCTGCTGGTGCTGCTGTGTGATGCTCAGCAGGCTGAGCTCCCTCCTCGGGCTGCCCCCTGACTCCTTTCTGGCAGGGGACGGAGGACAGAACCTGTGGGCTGCCCCATGGTGGGGAGCAGCTCCAGGCTTTCATGGGGCAGAGCAGCAAAGTCTGGCTAGACATGTGTCACTAGGACCCAGATGTCACTGTAGGGCCCTGGCAGGTCATTGCCTGTCTACGAACCTCAGTTTCTCCAACTGAAATTTGGGTATGCAAGCTTTGATAGACAGCCATAAAGGACAAAGCAGAGGGTCAAGTAGAGCCTTGGCATCTGAGCCAAGCTGGGCCTGGACCCAACCAGGTTCTGTCCTGCCCCACCATGACTCCACAGCCAATGCCTGTCACCAGATAGGCCAGCTCCAGTGACCTGGGAAGGGCCGGGTCAAGAACTGTCCCATTTCCTGGCACTCAATCCCAGATCCTGGGCCTGCTGCCTGCATGCTCCAGGGATTCTGGCTGAAACTCCAGCAGGCCCATGAGGCAGAGGGGTGGGTGGGGTAATGGTGAAGGCTGTGGGTTTCCCACCCCTCCCAGATTCCCCCCATCACCCTTCTCCCACCTCTGCTCGCGTAATTTGCCCACTGGGAAACTCAGGCTCTGTATCCAAAACTCTGAAGCCCATTAGAGGCTGCCACAGGGGTAGGGGCACCAGCAAGCTTTACATCCTGTGGCCCCTGACCTCTAAAATCTCTAGTAGGACTTCATTTGAACAGAGTGTTCCTTAACTGTAATAAAGATTTGGAAAACACACTATAGGGAAGTTACTTGCTGGAAGAGGGGCTGAGAAACTTCACTTCTCAAGAGCTATGCTGGCTGGAGGGCTGCCCTCGGGAGTAGGGAGGGGAGCACAAAAGAATGGACATTTGTTGAGCACCTACTGGGTGCTGAGCTGGTCATTGACTTGGAAATGTGCAGCAAGGCAATTTCTGGAAAGCAAGAACTATCTCCTGGGTGAAGCTGGCTGACAGGCAAGGAAATGGGCTGCCCTGGGAGCGGTAAACCCCCTGACCCTGGGGTGCATAGGTAGGGGCCGGGTGACCCAGCAGGCCCTGTAGGCAAGAGCTTACTGTCTGCGAACACCTTTGGGCAGGAGAGCCTGTGCCTCAGAGCAGTGTGTGGGTTTCCACCCTTAGAGGCCAGGAACCCATCCCTTCAAGGGGAAAAGAGGGGCAGCTGTACTCTGATCCCACTCTCTTCTCCTCTTACCAGTGGAGAAACTAATGCTCAGGTGCTCAGCCGGGAGCCGCATTAACAAAATGGGCAAGGACCCAGGCTTCCTGCCCCATGTCAGGGCTCCATCCAGAACATTGAGGAATCTGCCTTATACCCCTCAGGGGGTCCAGAGCAGAGGCCCTGCCACAGCCAGAACCCTACTCTCACACTGTACCTTCCAGAGCTTGGCAGGAGAGAAGGCCAGCAGCTTCTCCAGGGGCCCAGAGGATCCCACTTTGGGTCAGGCTTTATTCAGACTGGCTGCCCAAAGAGGAGAGAGGTGAGGGCTTGCCTAAGCATGCCTCTGTCCTCTCCAGATGTTCGTGGTAGCCGAGGCCGAAGCAGGCTCCTGCCATCTGCACGAGTTCACCGTCTCAGGCACCACTTATGCCCCGGAGGGCGAAGTGTGAGTGCTGGGCAAGGGGGTGTGGTGGGCGGGGTTCCCCGGTGAGCTGGGCCACACTGGACAGCTCTGAGTTCTGTGGGCGGGATCAGGAGGCCATGCACCTCCCAGGGATGGGGCCAAATGCCCTGGTACGAAGGCCCGGCCCCACAGGAGGCAGGCGGAGCAGCTTGTGCACTGTGGGCAGTTCGATGGGTTGGTGGAGCTGGCGACGATCTGTGCCCTCTGCAACGACTCGGCGCTGGACTACAACGAGGTGGGACCCAGCGCTCTTTCGTGACTCACTAGTATCCAGGTGACCCTTCTCCCAGAGTCTCAAAACTCCCAGGATTGGCAGTCCCTGCCCCTTTGGAGTGCCACACCCCAGGAACACTGCCCCCTCTGCAGACCCCCACCGCCACTGCTTTCTCACACTGGCTTTGAGACTGTGCCCCAGGGCTCTTGGGCTCTGGAAGACGGTAATGTAAGGGACTGTAGTGCCATGGTGTCGAGGAAGAGATTTGGGCAGTAGGACTAGGGAGGGTGTTTACAGTAGAAGGCAAGGCCCAGCCCAGAAAAGGCCCACAGGTCATAACAAGCTGATGGGATGCAGGCACTGAATGCCCTTACCTGCTGCTGGAGCAGTGGAATGGAACAGGCATGAAGATACTCCTGCCTGAGGGAAGGACTTGACCAGATCAAGTCAGGTCCCATAATGAGCTGAAGGCAGTAGACAGCCACCAAGGGGTTTTGAGCAGAGGAGTGATATATATGGTCAGATTTGCATTCACCAAAGATCACCTAGGCTTTTGTGTGGAGGATGGAACAGACAAGGCAAGAGTGGATTCAGAGAGCCCCTGTGTGGTCCCCCAGGTCAGACAGTTGCTGGCTGGGGCTCCAGGGAAAGGGAAGAAAGCATGGGTTGGAGATTTAGGGTGGGACTTGGTGACTGGTTAGGTGAAAGAGAGGGAGGGTACCTCCTGGTTGCTGTCCTAGCTAGGACTGTCACTGGAGTGGCAAATATAGGGATAAGGGGAGGTGGCCTGAGGGTCACTAAGGAACCAAGTCCAACAGGCAGCAATTAGATATGTGGGCTCGGAGCTCAGCGGAAATGTCACTGCCAGGCTGGGCCCTGCAAGTCAAGCACATGAAAGGCGGGGAAACGGGGTATATGAGGCCTCAGGGAGAGAAGGTGGGAGGGAGGGAGCAGGGTCTGGACAGCAGAGTTTAGAAAGGAATCTGGGGAATCTGGAGAAGGAGGCTGAGAAGGGGCCTGCAGAGAGTGAGGTGGGTAGCGGGGAGGATACATGTTCACTGATGCCCGGGGCGGGGCGGGGAGTGGAGGGTGGGGCGGAGGGGGTGTCAGAAGGGAAGGGAAGCCTCAGTACCAGACACTATCCAGACCTCATGTCAGCTGGACTGGGAAGGGCGCCACTGGTCTGCTGCAAAGGAGGTTAAAGGTAACTCTGGTAAAGGGAGATCCAGGGGCCAGGAGGTAAGGTAAGGATGTGGGAGGTAAGAATGGGGGTCCACTGGAGGCTGCCCTGCTCTTCACCCCCTGTACTCTGGGCCCCACCAGGCTAAGGGCGTGTATGAGAAAGTAGGAGAGGCCACGGAGACGGCTCTGACTTGCTTGGTGGAGAAGATGAATGTGTTTGACACCAACCTACAGGCCCTATCCCGGGTGGAGCGAGCCAGTGCCTGCAATGCGGTGAGCACAGTGAGGGCTCTGGCCACAGACCTCGTAGCTGGGGCGTCTGGGCATCTAGAGAAGAAAGAGAGGACGACAAGGTCTTGGGAGGCCTCTGGGAGGAGGAGGGACCTTGGACCCTGGTACGACTTGGCGAGAGAGCAAAGAGAAGAAAAGACTGAGTGTGGGCGAGGACCCAGAGTTGGGAAGTGCACAGCATGGTCAGGAAGTGGCAGCCTTTTGGGAGGGAGGGAGGGAGATGGGGGCTTCACATGTCAGGATCAGAGGAGGGTAGACATCATCCCACAGGGAGCAAGAGGCTCTTCGTGGGATCAAGCTGCTGGAAAGAAAGCAGTGAGAGTTTCTGGCTCTGCCCCTCACATCCTGACCCTTCTGAGCCCCATAGGTCATCAAGCAGCTGATGCGTAAGGAGTTTACCCTGGAGTTCTCCCGAGACCGGAAGTCCATGTCAGTGTACTGCACGCCTACTAGCCCTGGCCTGGCAGCCCAGGGCAGCAAGATGTTTGTGAAGGTGGGGCCTGCCTAATTGGCCTGGGGCTTCTGCACATGTGGAGTCCCTGGGAGATCTGATCTTCAGTCCTCTGAAGAGCTAGTGACTGCCACTGTGGGAGACTGAGGGAGGTGTGAAGCCCATTGTCGAAGCAGTGAATCTAGAATGAGGGTGGTCAGCCCTCCATGGGGAACTGGGAGCAGGATCCAGCCTTGGTGGAGATAAAGCCAGGGCCAGGCACCAAGGCTTGCCACTCACCATGGCCCCAACTCTGGGCTGAGAGGCACTGCCTTGTCACATGACCTTGGGGTCACCTATGCTCCTCCATGAGCCTCAGTCTCCCCATCTGAATGGCAAGGTCAAGCTGGAAGGTCTCAAAAGCCTTTTTCACCTCTGATGGGGGTATTGCGGTGGTTGGTGCCCATCTCTGGTGCTTCATGTTCTGGAAACTGAGTCCTAGGGAAGGAAGTCTCCCCTCCAGACTTCTGCCCATCACACTGCCTGTCACTGCTTTTCAACCTGAAGTAGGAATGACAGCCCTAACTTCACACTGAAATGGAGGTTTTAACCCCTTTTGAAATGAAAAGGTTTCTGTATTGGGATCTCAGGCCACCTTGAAAACTTAGCATTTGGAGTGCCCTTTGGGGAGAGGGAGAAGGCATTGATGGAGGTTTCAGAAGCTATTCCCAAGGTGAGAATAGAGGCAAGACCCAAGGTGAGACCCCAAGGCTACTGAGAAACATGTCACCCCCAAGAACACCTTCCCAGAGCCACACCCTCAGCGTGGCTCTATTTCTGGTCCCGAGGCAGGGCTCAGCTTGCCTCCTGTTGCTGAGCCCCCTGCAGAATTGGGATCCCAGCCGCACCAGATTGGCAGGGAGGCAGGACCTGTAGGAGGGCTGCCCGTCCTATCCCTGCCTCCCCAAATGCTGCAGCAGACCTTCCCAGCTTTGGGTTGGTAGGGGGGAGGGTGCCACCCAATGGGCAGCCACAACCCCCCATTCCTTTTGGGTTTTCTCACAGTGAGGCCCCCTGGGTTCTCACTCTGAACTTTCAAAGAATGGAATCTCGTCCATATCTTGCTTTGTGTCCCCTTGGATGGCATTTTCCATTTCTGGGCCTCAACTTCCTCAGTTGGGCAACAGGGGAAGGAAGGGGTCCTGACTGACAGAGTTGCCTCTCCCCTCACCCACGATACAGGGGGCTCCTGAGAGTGTGATCGAGCGCTGCAGCTCAGTCCGAGTGGGAAGCCACACAGTACCCCTGACTGCCACCTGCAGGGAGCAGATCCTGGCCAAGATTCGGGATTGGGGCTCAGGCTCAGACACGTTGCGCTGCCTGGCGCTGGCCACTCGGGATGCACCCCCAAGGAAGGAGGACATGCAGCTGGACGACTGCAGCAAGTTTGTGCAGTACGAGGTGGGTGCCAGGGCAGAGCCCCAAGGCTGGGAGCTGTGCGTCTCCCTGCAAAGGCTGGGCAGGTAGGAGGTTGAGCATGGGCCCAGGCTCCACTTGCATCTGCCCCCTCCCTACAGATGGACCTGACTTTTGTGGGCTGCGTGGGCATGCTGGACCCTCCAAGGCCTGAGGTGGCTGCTTGCATCGCACGCTGCCACCAGGCCGGCATCCGTGTGGTCATGATCACAGGGGACAACAAAGGAACAGCTGTGGCCATCTGCCGCCAGCTTGGCATCTTCAGGGACACAGAGGACGTGGTGGGGAAGGCCTACACAGGTCGCGAATTCGACGACCTCAGCCCTGAGGAGCAGCGCCATGCCTGCCGCACAGCATGCTGTTTCGCCCGTGTGGAACCTGCACACAAGTCCCGAATCGTAGAGAACCTACAGTCCTTTAATGAAATCACCGCCATGGTGAGGCCACAAGATGGGAGCCGAGTTGAGGTGGGGAGGGGTGAGGGGAACACTGGCCATAGAGCTTAGAAAGAGCAACCCATACCACCTCCGCCTCTGCTTCATTCTTATTTTTTCCAACAGTTTATTACAAAAAAATCTCAAACACAGCAAGAAATTAAAAGTTTTATAGTAAACACCTGTAAAACTATGATCTAGATTCTACACTTAATACTCTGTTTGCTTTGCAAATACCTGTCCATCTATCCATCCTTAATCCATCTTTTCTTAAATAAATTTCAAAGGAAGTTGCAGGCATCGGTACACTTCACCCTCACATAATCTAGAATGCATACTCTAGAGAGCAGCATTTCTTTGTGGTTCTCTTTTTTTCCTTTTTGAGGCAAAACTTACATGCAATGAAATGCACAAGTCTTAAGCATATCATTCATTTGATGTGTTTTGATAAGTGCAGACACACCTTTGCATGTCATCCGAACCCTCATCAAGATAAGGAACATTACTATGGACCCATGAAGTTCCCTGACGTACCTTCCCCATCAGGCCCCTCTCTCACAACAGGCCATTTTTCCACCATCAATTGTGTGTCCTAGATTTTCATATGAATGGGATCATACAGTACGTACTCTTGTGCCTGGCTTCTTTCTTTTGAAATTTATCCATGTTGTTTGGGTATCAGTAGATGATTGTTTTTTTTAATCATTGAGTAGCATTCTGCCATGTAAATATAACCACAGTTTATTTATCGATTCACCTTTGGATAGACCTTTTGTTTGGGCCCAGTTTTCTTTTTTTTTCTTTTTTTTTTTTTGTCTCATTCTTTGATTACAGACCTATTCTCAACACTGATCTGATTCTTGACCCCAATCTCACCCCTGACCTGGCCTCTGTTGACCTCCACCTCCAGTCCTTTACCTTGACTTTAATGCTAACCTGTGACCCAGTCTTGACCTTGATACTGAGCTGGTCACCAATCTTGACTACAGTTATAATTTGGTTCTTAACTTTATTTTTGACCTTCATGTTGACTTGGTTCCTGACCTTGAACTTGACCATCTTAATCTGATTTTTACTTTGAGCTCAACCTTGTTAGGGGCTGCAGTCTTGACCTGCACCCTGACCTGATCCTTGACATTGACCTTGACCCCTAAAAACCAATACTGTATGTAGACCTCAACTTTATATGGCCTCTAATCTTGACCTTGACTGCATCTCCAACCTTGACTGTGACATCATTCCTGATGTGGACCATAACCTTGATTTGGCCTCTGACTTTGACTTGACCTTTACCTGAGTCCAGTGTTGACCCAGACCTTCACCTTGACTCCAACCTTTAGCTATAACACCTATCTGGTTCTTTTCCTGGGCCACAACCTTGACCTCATCCCTGACTTAACCTTAATTTTGCCCCTAATCTCAATTTCATCTTCTACACCACATCCAACCTGAATTTCATCTTCACTATCATCAGTGACCCACCATCTTCCCCAAGTCCACCTCATCAAGAAGATGAAGACCTTCAAATTGATCTTCTCTTCAAAATTGTCCTGGTCTGCAACCACCTCATCCCCAGCCCAATCTCTAAGTTCATTTTCAACCTCACCATTTGCTCTGTTCAGCTGTCTGCTTCCTTGGGGATGTCCCCTGAGCTTGGGGATAGACTTAGTTGAGGGGAGTCAAGGAAGGAGAAGTGAAGTTTCTTAGGCATGATTCTACCTAACTTTGCCCCTAGACCGGAGACGGGGTCAATGATGCCCCGGCTCTGAAGAAAGCAGAGATTGGCATTGCCATGGGCTCTGGCACAGCTGTGGCCAAGTCAGCAGCCGAGATGGTGCTGTCAGATGACAACTTTGCCTCGATCGTGGCCGCGGTGGAGGAGGGACGTGCCATCTACAACAACATGAAGCAGTTCATCCGCTACCTCATCTCCTCCAATGTGGGCGAGGTGGTCTGGTGAGGCCCTGGATTTCCTCTTCCCAGCCCTCTTGACCAGCTCTAGGTCACTAAGGGAAATGCCTGTTCCTGGGATGGGGCTATAAGGGTAGAGGGACACATGTCCTGCCCTGGCTGGGGCCTTCTTCACCTCAAGGAGGGCAGGGGCAGGAGCACCTCATCATTCTTCCAGAGGCCTCAGTGAACCCCAGCCCCCAAAGAGGGGCCTAAAAAGTACCCTATCATCCCTCAGCCATAACTCCCACATTTAGAGTTGGCAAGATGGGAGAACTAGCCCCACTTTGGGGCAGTAATTGTGCTCACATGTGTATGTGAATGTGTGCACACAGTTGTGTGTGAGCATGGTGTGTGTACTTAAATGAAAGGTATGTGTACACATGTGCATGTATGCTCTTGTGCATCTTTGGGCATAAGTACAAGCACAGAGGATTTGTGCCAGTGTATAATTTGTATACACTCAGGCTCACATGTGAGAGATGCCTGTGGGGAATGGTGAGCACAAGTTTGCCTGGACACATGTGAATTCCGCAGTCTCTGCATGTGAGGACAAGCATTGTAGGTGCTTATGTTTGTGTAATTGTGTGGCCTGTGCTAAGTTTTTCTCCTGTCTGTTAAAAAAAAAATGTGTATGTACTCAGGCGTGCGCTGTCCACGTGCGCACATGCCCTAGAGGAGTTGTGGCCTAAACAGGAGAGGCCTAAAGGGCAGATTTGTCCAGGCTCCAGAGCTGAGATTGAGTACAGGACTGACCCAGCGTGGGGCAGAGCCATGCGCACACATAAGAACTGGCAAAGTGAGATGGGGCTCCTGTGCAGACAGTAGGTGAGCTTCCCAGCCTTGGGTGTGAGTAGGAGCTGGACCCCCCAGTTGCTGGGGACTAGAGCCTGTGACTCTGGTTCCAGCATCTTCCTCACGGCAATTCTGGGCCTCCCGGAAGCCCTGATCCCTGTGCAGCTGCTTTGGGTGAACCTGGTGACAGATGGGCTACCTGCCACAGCCCTGGGCTTTAACCCACCAGACCTGGACATCATGGAGAAGCTGCCGAGGAACCCTCATGAGGCCCTCATCAGCGGCTGGCTCTTTTTTCGATATCTGGCTATTGGAGGTGAGTGGGGCCCTCAGTGGGGTTTCAGGGGCTTCTTGAGAGCTTCTCTCACTTAGGCTTGCAAACTACAGACAGAATGCCTGGGCCTGGCTCATGCCAAAAGAAACTGTGGGCTCATCTCATGGAAAAGACTAGAGCATGCCTCAGGTATGGCTGGATCCAGGCCTCAGGGTCACCGGCATATTTTGGCTCTGCCTCAGCTCCATTCTCAGGCATCCCCTGGAGGGGGGGATGGCTGCTGCAGCTGTAGCCTCATGTTTACTCCATCACAACCCCAAATTCAACAGAACAGAGAGCGACCCCTCAGTAATATGACAAAAGTCTCAGACCTGTTCTCGGCCCAGATTGGGTCACCTGCTTATCTCCTACCAATCACCGTGGCCAGGGGAGTGGCGGGTGCTGATTGCCGGTCAGGGCCCACCCCACTGTTACTAAGGACAGGTGCTTGCAAACCACATGGCTCAGAGAGGGAGAGGGTTGTTCTTTGACAGAAATTCAGGAGATTGTTAGGAAGGGGAAGTGGATGCCAGAAAACCACAGCTATCCACTATAGCCAGTTTCCTCCTCTCCTCCTTGCAGTGTACGTGGGCCTGGCCACAGTGGCTGCCGCCACCTGGTGGTTCCTTTATGATGCCGAGGGACCTCACGTCACCTTCTACCAACTGGTAAGCAAGGACAGCCAGGGAGCCTGTTGGGGTTATTTCTGAGGCAGAACTCACAGCCCAAGTAGTTGTTGGAGTCCCAGGGGAAAGGGGCCTGGAACCCCGTGGTTGGCCTACAGCTGTCCCTCCCTACCCCCATACACATACGCAGACATCCATCATCGAAGGAGGCATGCTCAGAAGCCCCTGGAAACCTAGAGATAGCAGCCCAGCTCCTGAGCCAGAGAAGTGGTTACTCCTTCGCCCAATCATTTGGTTAGGGAGCTAACAAGGGGCATAACTGCACAGAAATATCTTACCTTTATCATGGAACCCCCCAAAAATTGAGGGCTCAGAGATATGAACACCTAAAAGGTAGAACTTCAGGCAGGGGGTCCAAGTAAGGAGATTGAGAGTGGAGGGAAGGAATCTGCCAGGCTCCCCCTCCACCTCCATAACAACATGCTTCTCTAGAAAGGGATCCACTGACCTCTTGAAGTCACCTGCCTAGCAGGTGCCCACCACAGGGCTAGCTTAGCTCAGCATAGCTCTAGAAGCAAGCAAGGAGACCCCTCAGCTGCTATCTGTCAGTCTGTCCCTCTGTCTGGGCATTTCCTTTTTTTATTATTATTTTTAAAGATTTATTTGTTTATTTGAGAGAGAGAGAGAGAATAAGCGGGTAGAGAGGCAGAGGGAAAGAGAGAGAGAATCCAAGCAGACTCCACGCTGAGCACAGAGCCCGATGTGGGGCTCAATCTCACAACGCTGAGATCACAACCTGAGCCAAAACTGAGTTGGACGCTTAACTGATTGCGCCACCCAGGCGCCCCTGTCTGGGTATCTCTTTTGCTTCAAAGAACCTTCGCAGCGAATCTAGCAAAGCCAGTTGTGGATTTTTCATTTAAAGCTGAGAGCTGCAGGGATTTAGGGTCTTCTTCCTCTGAGTGTACCTGCCTTCGTTACCTTCTTGTGGATAGAAGAGCTCAAAGGAGGGACCTGACCCTTTGCCCTATCACTGGCTGTCCTCCCTGGGAGGCTCTGTGATTTCAGGCCTTATCGCAGTATTCACATCTAGGTACAGTCAGCTCAGGGATACTTTCCTGGTACCCACCAGCCCTCTAGCACGTGGGCTTTCCTTTCTGACAGCAGTGCAGAGCACAGGCCCAGGCTCTTATCCCAAAGCCTGGTGCCCCCCAGCGCTTGGCAGAAAGTTCAGGCCAGTCTCAAGCACCTCTGCTCAGTTAGCTCCTATGGGAGCAGCAAGGTGCAGGGCAAAGGCGTGCTGACCATCCTGCCTCTGCCTTCTTCAGCACTGTCTCTATTACCCTCCTTTATCTATAGATCTCAAGTCTCCCAGGATACCCCACCCCCACCGCGGTCTTTCTTCTGAGCCCAGTCCCATATGTCCAGACGGATATCTCCTCTAGGATGTCCCACAGGCCCACTGCACTTACCAAAGTCAAATCTATCACCTTTCCCCAAATAATCCCTTTCCTTCATCTCCATCTCAGTTCTACAGCCAACCTGGTCACCCATGCCAGACCTGTGGGGGTCATGGTAGACACATACCCCATGCCCACTACTAGTTAGTCCCCAGTCCCATTGGTGCCACCTTCCCAACTGTCTTCAGGTCATTCCATTTCTCATTATTTATCCATCTGGTCAAAAAATGACTATTAAGCATCAACTGTATGCCAGTCACCAAGCAGACAAAGGCTCTGCAAAGACCTGGGAAGAACGTGGAAGTGGGCAGTCACATTTTAAGGTGAGAAGCTTCAGCAGAAAAAATACAAGTGGCTGTGGGACTTGGAGGTGGTCTAGGGTTAGACCTAAGGTAGAGCTTTCAGCTTCGGTTGTTGGAATTTCAGCAGAGCCGCCTAGAACCGCCCTTGGTTCCTGAAGGAAGCTGTCAAAAGGCAGCAGAGTGGTTAAGGGCACAGAGCATGGATCCTGGACCCAGGCTACCTGGGTCCACACCCTAGTTCTGGCCACACACTGGCTGTGTAACTTTGGACAGGCTACTTAGCCTCTCTATTAGTGTCCTCATCTATAAAATGGGTAATAATTGTCCCTGCCTCAGCCTCATAAGGCGGTCAGGAGGATTAACTTGGAGTCAATTCTTGTAAAGTGCTTAGACCAACATCTGGCACATAGTAAGAGTTGTGTAAGTATTAATTAAATTAATGAAACATAGAGGAGGCCTTGCAGGATAAGGTAAATAGGAAATAGCCAGGGAGGCAAAGGGAAGGAGTAGGCAGAGCAGTGGTGTCACCCAGAGAAAACAAGCCCCCACCCCCACAAGGCTCACAATGAACCTATGAGACAGAAGTTCCAGCCCTGAGTACCTTCTAATAAACAATTCAAGAAGCCACACTATGACTCATGACCTGGGGCATAATGCACACATGTGGCAGATGCACACTGGTAAAACCCAGAAGGTCTGAATTGGGCAGGGCATTTATGTATTGAAACATCGTGATGTGACCCTGTTTGTATATTTTTCTCTCTGCGCATGCATAAAACTCTAGGCTTGCACATCCTTGAGTGGGAGGGGTGTACACTGCATTTGTATGCACATGGATGCATAGGTCATTAAGATCTGGAAAAGTGGGGCCTGACCATAGTGGTACAACAGGAAGAGGCATTTGGTCCTCTTGTTCTCTGGGTGGAATCAAATTTTAGGACATTGCCAAATAAAAACATGCACTTGTCCCAAATACTGGTGCTTGATTTTTGGAGAAAATCCCACTGTTGATTTAAATGAGATAAGAATCTCCACCTCTTTGTTGAAATAAGAAATCTAGCCAAGCCATAGTCTTTTAGAATTTTTCATCCTGCCTGAGAGAGAAGAGGAAAGTGCTAGCGGCCCCTTCTGGCTGACAGTCACCTTACCCGTATTTATGCAGTGTGGGAAAACAGGGATCTATTTACGGGACAGGAGCTCAGAGAGCCTGTCATTTTATAGATTTCTCTTTGAGGGTGATATTTTACATCACGTGGATCCAGCTTTTAAACAACTTTAGCTTAAAAGATCTCTGTGTTCAGATGATAATCCAGAGAACAAATTTATGTTATTGGAGAAGGAAGCTGTCTAACTGTGATGAATATTCACACTCATCCCAGTGTTGTGGAAGAGAACAGGATAGAAGTTCTCACGCATGTCCTCAGCTCAGCATCTTATCTCAGCAGAATCTGTAAGCAAAGTCTGTGAACAGGAAGCAAACTCTCCCCTGGGACTGCAGGGCCAACAGCCACATCCCCTATAGAGCCCTGAGATCTTTTCCTTAATTATGAGGAAGCCGTGTAGTAAGCCCGCACCTAGCAATTCATTAATCCGTGTCATAAGCAAAACGCGAGTCTGGTAGAACTCAGTTTCAGTGGCAGAAATGGAGGGAGATATGAATGGAATCTTATTTAATAGCAGTGATTAGGGTACATGCAGCCTTTGCCCACCAAAGGTGAATTCTATTCAAACAATTTGGCTGATTGGTTTTTATCAGCATTTACTTATTCTGTGGTCTCAGTAAATCACCGCCCCCACTCTGGCAGCTCCGATATTCAGGGCACCCCATGCACCCTCAGGGTAAAGACCGCATCCTCCCTCTGATCCCAGGGCCCTCTCTGTCCTCCCCATCCCAATGCTAGCTGCTCTCACTCTGTCCCTCCATAGCTCTGCCCCAGGATGGCCTGCCTTTTCCTCCAGCACAGTGTCACCCCTCTGACCCCATCCTGGGTGGGTGCCCCTCCTTGGGCCCACCGCATGGCAGCACTTTGCCCAGTGGTTGTATTATGTCCTCAGATGTGGGCTGAGGATGGAGTGAGGCTTCCCTCTTCCCACACACCGGCCCCTCTCCTGACCACTGTTCTCTCCCACCCCACCCCACCCAACCTTGGTACCCTCAGAGGAACTTCCTGAAGTGCTCCAAGGACAACCCACTCTTTGCTGACATCGACTGCGAGGTCTTCGAGTCACGCTTTCCCACAACCATGGCCTTGTCTGTGCTGGTGACCATTGAAATGTGTAATGCCCTCAACAGGTGGGCTGGGCAGAGGGGCCTGGAGCTGGGGTTGAGAGATGGGGAAGGGAGGCCTAAGTGTGGCGGCTGAGAGTCAGTCAGGGCGCAGATTTGGGGTCAGAGATATCCAGGATTGTGGTCTGAGGATCAGGGTGTTTGGGATTAGGGCCTAAGTGTCAGAGGGGTCCCAAAGGGGGTTTTGAGACTAAGTGGGGCCACAATTGAGATCTAGGGAACAAAGAGGGCCACGACTGGGGCCTGAATAAATAGAGGGGCCAAGAGTGGGTCTGAGGGACAGAGAAAGGGCGTCCAAGCCCTAGGACAGGCCACTGGGGCTGAGCAAGTAACTGTGACACACCCCTCCTGGCTACACTGGCCTCCCGGAGCGCACCAGCCTGTAGGCCCAGTTTGGGAAGTGCTGAGGCCCAGGCCACACGGTGGATGGCGCCCACAGCAGGGCCTGCAGTGAGTACTCTGTGCCCTTGGCAGTGTCTCAGAGAACCAGTCGCTGCTGCGGATGCCGCCCTGGCTGAACCCTTGGCTGCTGGCCGCTGTGGCCACGTCCATGGCCCTGCACTTCCTCATCCTACTGGTGCCGCCCCTGCCTGTGAGTTTCTGCCCTGCCCCAGTCCTCTTCTGTGACAGGGCCCACACCCTCCTGCAACGGTCTGGCCCTGGGGTGGTCACTGGGCCTCTCTGGGCCCTTCTGCTATGGAAACTGCCTGGCAGACGGGGAGTGGGGAGATCTGAAAGTGCTTGGCACAAACAGCTTGTGCTCTGGGAATCCTCAGACTCAGGGGACTGAAGAGGTGCAGATAAGACCTCTTGCTGTGGGGGATCTCCCAAGGCCAGGGCAAGGAGGAGACTATGTTCCTCCCCAGTACAGAATCCCTCCCATTTCTCAAACAGGACCAAGATGATTTGGTCATTGGGGGAGGGCAGAGGAGGGCAGGCTCTTCTGGCAGAGGAACCAGGGTAGACAAAGATCTGGAGGTGGGACCTTGCTCACGAAGAGTCCATGGTAGCCCGGGTGTATGAAGCAGGTAGATGGTGGGGGCACAGCTTTAACCACACCTCCCCCCTCCCCAGCTTATTTTCCAGGTGACCCCACTGAGTGGGCGCCAGTGGGTGGTGGTGCTCCAGATATCTCTGCCTGTCATCCTGCTTGATGAAGCCCTCAAGTACCTGTCCCGGAACCACATGGATGGTGAGTGGGGAGCTCCAGACCCTCCCCACCCTGCTTGCCTCTAGCCTGCTTCCCTGCCCACCTCCCTGCCTGCCTCTCTTCCCAGGCTGCAGCCTCCCTGTCTGTACAGAAAAAGAAGTATTCTCGGATCTCCAAGTGGAGGACGAGAAGGGGCTCTGTTCTGGTGGCTATGGCCTGTGGTACCTGCAGGGTCTTATGCTACAGCAGCCAAGAGCACTACTCAGAGCCATGTTCCCTCCCTCTCCTCACTTGCCACCAACCCTGCATGGCCAGGCCCACTGTACCCTCCTTTGGTCCTTGGCCTCGGACTTCTCTGAACCCAGCCTGCCTTTATGCAGGCATGCTCAGGACAGTCTCCCGGGCATGGTCTCCCGGGCATGGAGTGGGCAGCTACTGACCACCTCCGGGACCCTAGACCACACTGGGTTGGCCTCTTTGGTGTCACCTTGTAGGAGGGTGGAAGAGGGGGTTCTCTGTTTCTGAGCTCACAGCTCTGGGTCTGCCTTAATCCAGGAAAGGAGGGACAATGGCAGAGGCAGGGTTGGGGGCAGCATGTAGAGGGGTGGGCTGGGGCATAGCATCCATCTGCCGACCTCTGCTGGCGGAGGAGCCTCAGAGAGTGGGGGATTCTAAACCTCCCGAGGGCAAGGGAGGCCACCTCTTCTCCCTGTCAGAGCTGCTTAGAGAGGGAAGAAGTGGGGGCAAAAGACTCCCTGTTCCTGGGAGTGTGAGACAAGGCAGTAGCCCCATGGCCAGGCTGCTGTGGAGGGTCTGGTGTAGGCCCAGCTATGGCCAAAGCCTGCATGGGAGCAGCTCGGTCCTTCAGGGCCATCTCCGGCAGGAATGTGCCCCAGCCTCAGGGGAGGGAGCCTGGAGTTGGGGGCTATAAATAGATCACGTGCTTGTCATTCCATAGGGGCCAAGGCAATCAATTGGCTCCTATCTCCCACGCTGGCCAGTCCTCCTGGGCACTGCAAACATTTTATCTTATTAAAGAGGCCAAAACAAGTTGGCCTCCTTCCCCTGAAGAAGCTGGCCCACCACGGGTCTGTCCATACCGGACACACACACAGGGGCTCACCTGAGGGCGGGGCTAAGGTGCTCGGCCAAAGCAAGGCCTTGTTGGAGTGCATGGGTGAGGTAGCAGGGAGCAAGACAAGGCCTTTTGCCCCCTGTATGGTTCTTTCTGACCCACCCACTAGGCTTACTCCTAGGGAGCTGAAGAAGGTGAAATAGATCTAAAATTCCATCCTCGGGAGCCCAGGGCCTCCCCACTTCTGGCTGAAGCACAGGGGTGGTCTACGAGAAAATCCACTGGCCAACCTTGATCACACTAACTCACCTGTGAAGTCAGGCCTCGTTGGCAGCTTGGGCAGCTTCTCTGTCTTCCTTGAGAGCCTTCCCTAGCAGCCACAACAGCCAAGGGGCTCAGCAAATTTTCTTGAGAAAACTTATAAAATTTCTTAGCCAACGGGGAAGAGCCTGTGTCTCGGGCACTATTCAGTCCTGGCTGCTGGATGGTGACCCTAACAGGATGGGACAGGTTGGAAGGGCTAGGGAGGGAGCAATCCCTGCTGGGCCAGGGTTGGAGGTGATTTCTAGAAGAGGCAAGGTCTGAGCAGAGGTTTGAAAGGGGAGGATGGAACTTGGTGCGGAAAGAGCTAGGCTAGATGCTTTGGCGTCTCTAGTGGGGCTGGGGCTCAGAGTGCAGGGGAGAGAGGTAAGGCTAGAGTGCAGAAAGGGCCTCGAATGCCAAGTTAAGGACCCTGGACATTATCCTCATGGCAGTGGGAGCCAGAGAAGGGTGGAAGCATGGAAGGGACTGGGGTAACCATGGAGGACAGATGGGAGGGGCAAGGCAGGGAGGCTGATGAGCTGTGTTGAGCTGGTCTGAAGGGAGACACTGAGTCCAGCCCAGGGTGAGCTGGTTCTAGGCAACACCTCCACCTCCACCATGAACCTGAGATGTTGACTATGGTCCTGGTGAGGCTTGGCTTGAAAGGGTGGTGCCCTGCTGTAGGGAGTGGCTGTGGGGCCCACAGGAAAGACTTGGGCTGGGCATCTGTGGCCCCATGGGAGAGGTGGAGTGGTGTGCGCCCGCTGCAAGCCAAACAGCTCTGCCCTGTGTGGCTGTAGTCCCTCGGGCCTCCTAAAGCCGATGGGGCGGGGGTGAGAGAGGGGACCCTGCTACATTCCCAAGCCAGCCTGGTGGCCTTTTAGGGAAGTTTTGCTGAGGCTTGATGCTCGTAGCTTCCCTATGATTTATGAGGTAATGTGTCCTGGGAAGAATTGCAGATGCCTGGTCAGCCCCAGGGGGTAGGCGAGGGGGCGAGGGTGGTGGTCCTCTTGCCCCATCTTCTGGCTGTACCCAGGTGTGGCTGAGCAGTTGTCAGGCAGAGAGGCCATCGGGCCAGACCGAGGGGAGAGGAGGCCCGGAGAAACTGGGTGGGGACAGATCTGGGAGAGTCCAGGATACGAGGTGGGCTTGCCTTTATGCCGAAGGCAATGGAGAGCCACCCAAGGGGATGACAGCCTGGATATGTAGTGTGATGACAAGGTCAGGAGCATGACGGTGAGGTAAGGGGGGGCTAAGGGCAGGGCAGAGAGGACTTGAAGCCCGGGGGCAGCACGGGAAAGAGATGAACTCAAGAGATGTAGGTGGTAAAATCAGCAGACCTGAGTATATGGGATGAAGGAAGAGTTGATGCCACCAGTTTCTGGATCTCATCATACTGGGTAGTTGTTTCCCAGACTGAAAATCAAGAGCAAAATATGCCCCGGGCTGGGCTGGCGTTGTTGATAGAACATGGGGAGTGAAGGAGGCCCAGGGGGCATCCGAGAACTGTGTCTGGCAGCAGCTGGATCTGTGGGGCTGCATCAGGAGACACAGTGGAACTGGGGATCCCCTGATGAATGCTGTGGGAGAATGCAGCTGTCCCAGGAGAAATGGAGGATGGAAGGAGCTAGAAGGAACCAGTGTGGATGTGCACTGTCACACATACACCTCTTGGCATACTCTTGGGTTTTTCTTCCAGAAGAGAAGGACCAGAAGTGAATGCTGGGAACAGGGTGGAGTCTCCAGTGTGTACCTCAGACTGATGATGCCCAGGCCTTCACCCCGACTCTCCACACCGCCGTCACGCTCATCGCTTGCTCACTGGGCCCTGCCAAGAGTCTCTGTCCCTGCTTCTGTACACATGGGGGCTCTCTAATTCATGTCTCGGGGACTCTCCTGGGAAGTTCAGCTATAAAGGTCTAGCCCAGGAGCTGCAGCCTGGGAGGGATCTGCCCAGAAGCCAGGGAGCTGGCAGCACATCCAGACATGCAGAGCCCTCTACCCCCCAAATCCATGAGCACATTCTGGAGCAGGCACCCCCCCTTGCTTGGAGGCTGGGCATTTTACTTGGTGACCGGTGCCTCTACACTCATGGAGGAAGTCTTGCTAAGTGACTGGTCTGGGGCCTGGTCAGTAACGGGGTGAAGTGGGGGAAACATCTGGGCCCAGCTGTGCACAGCAAGGGCAGGTAACCCCCTCCACTTTGTTTCCATAAAACAGAGGAATCATGAGGGCTTGAGCCTCTTACTGTTTGTATGCACAGGGGGTTGAAGGGTCAGAGAGAGGGACATGGAAGTAGGGGAAGGGGGCTGGGCAAGGATCTCCTTCCCAGGAGACAGCTGGCGTGCCTGCCTTGCTCTGGGCACCCTCAGACTCAGATTTCCCTGTCCTAAGCAAATGAGATAGGCCAAGTCTCTCCCGGTGCTGCCCAGTCTGCCAAGCTCAGGCCGGATTTGCCCTTCATGTCCCTGGGGCCTAAGACCCCAGACATCCTTGGGTACCTGATCACTGTGCCCTTTCAGCCCAACCGTGTGTGCACCATCCCACAGTCTGCGCAGCTGGGTGATTCTGAGTCCCCTAGACTCTTGGCCTCACTCTTTGCCCCCAACCCCACATACCCATGAGCCGAAAGGATGTCAGTAAGAATGGCTAGTTACCCAAGGGCACTTCCTCTCCCTCCCTCATTGCTGGAGGAATGTGTGTTGGATCGTGTCGGATGATGGGAAAAGAGTGTTTGATGGACATAAATGTTCTTTTAACTCCGCTTTTGCCCCTTTGGCAAAAATTAGGGCTCCAGGTACTGTGGCCTCTTACCGTACCTCTCCCCGCTCCCCTCCTCTCTCAAAGTCCCCAGAGAGGCCCCATAAGAGAAGCAGAGTTGGGCAGGGCTCCCCCGGGCACCAGCCCGCAGAGATTCTCCGCTTCTTTCCTGCCAGAGGATTGGCAGACCTGGAGGTGGGGGAGGGTGGTGGGGCCCTATACCCATCTGTTGACATGCAGTTGGTAGAGAAATAAAGGTTGAGTGCCTGGGGCAACAGAGGACGATCTGTCTGATTTCCTAGAGAGCAGTTCCACCATCTGCCCATGTGATGCCCACCTGGGCTCCCACCACCCACACCCACTCACGTCAGGAACCTTGAGCCAAGGTCTGCGGTTCCCCCAGGGATTGCTGTCTTCCTCTGAGACAGGACCCAGGAGAGACACTGATTTCCTGACCCTCTCCCAAATGGCAAAGGCATGAATCTGCTCACAGGGACCGCACTTGATAGTTTGTGTACGTGTTCAAAGCCCTTTGCGCATGTTAAGATTCCAATGTCATCACTGAGGAAACAGGCTGGGAAGGGTTCATGACTTGGCCGGAGGCAGGGCTAGGCCTGGAGCCTAAATACCATGGGCCTCCAGCCCTGACAATTCCACGGGTCCTGCATCTCTCCCTGAGGTTTCTCGCTGTCTTTCCTTCCCCTCCTTGAACCCCAGGGTGCCATCAACTTCATGCCCTTCTAAGCCCAGCTCCAGGGCTCCTCCCCAAGGCTTCTCTCAGCTCACATTGTCCAGGGACCTTTGATAGGCTGCTTGATATTAACTTCTGACTCACCCAGGTGGTTCTGCTCTCTGGGAGCAGGGGCTCTGTGGAGGGAATAGCTGTGTGTCCCCATCTCCCTCATTTTCTTCCTCTGGAGAGAAGATTCACTCAAGAAGTTTCTGTCTCTAATCCTCTGCCCAGCTGCCCTGGGAAGGGAAATCAGGCCCTGCCCACAGAGCCAGGGACAGGACTGACTATGTAATTTGTGGGGCTCAGTACAAAATGAAAATGTGGAGCCCTTGTTTAAGAATTAGGAGTTTCAGGGACGCCTGGGTGGCTCAGTTGGTTAAGCGTCTGCCTTTGACTCGGGTCATGATCCCGGGGTCCTGGGATCCAGTCCCGCATCGGGCTCCCTGCTCAGCAAGGAGTCTGCTTCTCCCTCTGCCTGCCATCCTCTCCCTCTCTCTCTCTGACAAATAAATAAATAAAATCTTTGAAAAAAAAAAAAGAATTAGTTTCAAAGCAGCGACAGCAGAGTATTAAAACGAAATGCAGGGCCTTTCTGGGCATGGGGTTCTGTGCAGCTGCATAGGTCACACATCCGTGAAGCCAGCCATGACTGGAAGAGATACAACCCACCCTTAGGAGCTCCCGGGTTTTATTTTGGGGAAGGGCAAGATTTGGTGCATAGTTCACAGTGGGCGCCAAGGACGGGCAGAAGGATTCTTCCTTCTGCATGTTCCATCAGTTAGACCTCTCAGATCCCAAAACCATTCTGTACGCCTCAGCTCCCTGGGTGCCCAGCCAGCTCCTTGAGATGGGCCAGGCAGGGGTTATGGCTCCATTTTATAGATGAATACCCCAAAGCTCTTGGAAAGCCTGACTGTCTAGCTGGCTTCATCATGGCAGACAGACAGAACATGGAGTTAAGACGGGCATGGACGGCTTGACGAGTAGACAGGCCAGCTTCAGCACTCCCATCAGACGGGCATGGAGGGTTCCATCAGCTGCTGGAGCTCATGGCCAGGCCTGCGCAAGTCCAGCCCTGCCAACCCACAGCATGGAGCCTGACAGGTCAAGATGGAGCAGCCAAGGGAAACAGAGGTTTCCTACCTCACAGCCACTCACCCCAGAGGGAATTCCAGGGCAAGCCCTGGCACACTTCTCCCTGGCTCAGGGATGGCCACTGCCAAAATGCCCAAGGCCTCACCCTGCCCCCTCCATCGGCCCAGGTTGGGCTCCCCAGGCCTCCCACGCTGTACACCGCAGAGGGGTAGGAGAGACTGGGAGAAATGGAAGGGCAAACTGAGGAAATGGAGGCCTAATGCCCACACAAAGAACTGAAGCCAACAGTCCATGGCAGCTTTACTCATCATAGCCCCGAACTGGAAACAACCCAAATAACCACCAACAGGGGATGGACAACAGGCTGTGGTTTGTCCATACAACAGAATGCTCTCCAGCCATAAAAAGGAGCAGACTACTCATGTATGCAACAACATGGATGAAGCTTAAACCCTTGTGCTGAGTAAAAGAAGCTCGTATTGTGCAATTCCACCTCCATGAAGTTCTAGAAAAGGCAAAACAGATCAGTGATTGCCTGGGGCTAGGGTTGGGGAGGGTTGCCCTCAAAAGAGCAGGTTGGGAACATTCTAGGGTGACAGATGATGGGGGGGTGTTGCATGCATTTGTCAAAACTCATCAAACTGTGTGCCTAAAATGGGTACATTTTACTGTATATCAGTTATGCCTCAATACAGTTTGATTTAGAAGAAAAGAAAGGTAGGAGCCAGAGGAGGTGGGTGGGCAGGTGGCTACCAGGTGGGTGTGGAGGTTTCAGCAGCATCAGGAGGCAAGGAGACAAGCCTCCCAAGGGGTACTCAGAGTTTGAGGGGCAGGGACCTAGGTCAGCCCCAAGGAGTCCCACATTTCAGGGGCAGCAAGAGGATGGGGACCAAGAGGAAATGTCCCAAAAGGATGGAGGAGAACCAGGGGCTTGTGATACTGCGGCCGCTAGGGAGAAGGAGCTCATAGTCGGGGTGGGGTGGTTAGAAGAGGCCAGAGGAGCAGTGCAAGGTCTGGGCAAGAGGAGAAACCAACCCTGAGGACCCCTGCTGTGGCTTCCCTATGGACGCTTGCCCCCACAACCTCCCTTTGACAATCTCTGTTAGGCTGGCCCAGATTCTAGCCGGCATCTAAGGGGCTGAGTGGCATTGAGTGAGCCCTGGGACACTGACAGACCCAGGGTGGGGGACTGGACTGAACTCTGCAAGCAGAGGTGTCATCCCTGCAACCTTGGGACACTGAATGGCTAAGGAGATCCATTGGAGTCTGTGCCAACCCCCTTGAGGGCCTGGGCTGGCCTCCAGGATGGACACAGGCCCCCTCCACACTCCATAGAACTGCTAAATTTAGCCAGGCAGAGGAGGCTGTCCTGGGGCTGAGGGCTTGGCAGCACTGCCTTGTCTCCCTACAAGGTCTGGCCCAATACCAGAGCTGGCCACTCGGACTTTGGGCTTATAAGGCAGGTCTGGCAGCTCTCAAGGGCTGGAGTCTTGGGGTGGGCTCTGGGTCAATCTCTCAGACTTTGGGGAGCCTCCTTTCCAGCCACTAGACATGGGAGCTACTTGGGCAAGGCACTCAATTTCTAGAGCCTCAGTTTCCCTATCTGTAAAATGGGGGTTCCAGTACCTGCCTCATGAGGCTGTTTAAAAAAGAAATCTGCTGGATGTGAAAGTACTGTGTCCCCTGTAAACTCTGACCCCTGCCCTGCCCATCTCTGCCCCCCCCCCCACAATGCCTAGAACAATCACAGGTGTCTGTTCCTGGGGATGCCGTAGTTGGGGCAAGGTGGGAAAGCATAGGCCTAGATGGAAAGATGCATTTTAGAACCAGTGAAAGAGGCATTGGTCCTATCAGCTGTCTGTCTTGCTTTGGCAAAATTATTAGCAAAAAGATTTGTAATGGGGAAGATAAATGTAATTGCTTTTATTTCTTTTTATTTTGGGCATGCTTTGGATATGACAACCCCAAATGAGATAGTCCCCCATGACAGTCCGTTTTCTAAGTGTCAGGGTCAGAACTGAGGCTGTAACAGGAGCACAGGTGCGTGCTCCAAGCAAGGGTGTCTGAGTAGCTAAGGAGACCCATCAGAGCCTTGTGCTGAACCCCTTGAGGACCTGGGCTGGCCTTCAGGATAGGCATAGGCCCCGTCTGCACTCCACTGGCTGCAAAATTTAGTCAGGCAAAGGACACCATCTGTCCATTAGTCCCTGTGTCTGTCAGCAAGCCTGGCTCCTTGGAGATGGGGAGAGGGAGTGAAGGAGGAGATAGTGGAGGTCATGGTGATGATAGGAAAAGGGCAGGTGCAGATTAGAGACTGCCTGACTTCCTTCCCTCTCCTTCCTCCTCTCTCCCCACTTCACCTGGTGCCTGCTACCCTCCTGAATGTCCAGGGATTTTGGGTGGAGTGGGGCACAAAGATGGCTCCTGTATAGTGTCAGCGTCCACCCCCACTCTTGACTGCAAGCAATGCATGTCCTGGGACCTGCTATTCCAAGAACCATGGGATCACCTGGAAAGGGAATAGGCCCTTTTGTCTGGGATCAAGACCAGGCCAAGGGGACATGATACCCACAGGTCTGGCTCCCAGCATCTCTGGATTTTTTCCTTAGAAAAGCCCAAGACATGGTTCTGACCTGCCCCTCTGGAAGGTGGTGTTGGACAGACAGTTGGGCCTGAGATTAGTGAGAATGATCTGTTTGAGAGGGGGGAGCTGGCCTAAGGTGCTGGAAGGGGCCATGGGCCTGCCCTCTGTGGGGGCCCTTGCTGCCCAGAAAGCAGCTCTACTCAGACAGGCAGCTGGGATTTCCAGCCCTGGAGCCTGGCTCCCTGCCTAGAGCAATTGCCCAGCTAAAGGCCTGCCAGGAAGAAGACTCCTATCAGCCTTCAGAGTGAGGCACCTTGGACGGCAGGGGAGTTCCCCACACCCCGGGGGGAAACCCAGCCTCCGTCTCCCATCTCCAGAGGAAGCCCCAAGGACACCCGGCCTGGGTTGAGTGCCAGCCAGGGAGGCCTTCCTGCTTCAAGCTGAGGCCTCCAGTACAGCCCAGGGTGAGCTTGGGCAATTCATTTCTCCTCTCTGAGTTCATTTCTTCATCCGCAAAACAAGGCATTGGGTCAGGGGAGGCCTGCAGCTCTAGGGCCCCAAAAGCAAACATGAGACCTCTGTTCCCCCTGCCCAGTCCCCTGGGACCCTTGCATTCATGCCCTGGGGTGCGGTTGAAGACAGGGGCTGCAGAGGATCTGTACCTTAAGATCAACAGTGGCCTCAGGTTTTTGTCCTCAGTGTTGTTGGGACCCATGCCCCTAGGGCCTCTACCTATGAGGGAAATCCCATTATCATCCCCGTTTCACAGATGAGGATGCAAGCTCTGGCTGGTGAGGCAAATCACCCAAAGCCCTCACAGGCAGCTAGTAACAGAGCCAAGGATATTAACTGAGGCTGTCTGATGTCGGGCTTTCCCAGCTTTGTCTCAGGAGCCCAGGGGTGGTGTGCCACAGATGGGGCCCTTGAATCTTCCGGGCACTTGCGTCCCTCTGCTTGTTTTGGGAGGTGGACGTGTGGCTGGGACTGAACAAACGATGGGAGAGGAGAGGTGAGCTATAGAGATGCCAGCCCGGTGCTAAAGTTGACTGGGCACAGGCCAGGCTTGGACTCAGAGGGACAGGTGGATGGAAGCTGGTCTATAAGGACAGAAGTGGGGTTCCTGCTGCAGGCTCTGGGAGTATCAGATAGCTGATACCTCCGGAAATGGCCCTGCTTCTGCTTCTGCTCTCCTGGCCACAACCCCCACCCCGCCCCGGGACTGAGCTCCACACCTGGGGGCACAGGTAGAGTGGGGAGGATCTTTGGATATGGGAATGGGTCCGTGGTTTGGGGAAGGCTTCAGCCTGAGGCCACTCCACCCAAGCCCTGGCCCTGTTCTGTTCCGCTAGGTTCATGGGGGGGCTGAAAGCTTTATCTTTGCCTTATGACGGGTGGCCCGTGGTTTCCTGCCAACAGCTCCTGTTTCCGGAGGCTCAGCAGGGCCCAGGCGGAGCCAGAAGGAGCTGTGCGGCTGAGCCTGGGTGGCCCCACCAGCCCCGCCCCCATCTATCTTTGGGAATTTATTTGTCCACAGGCGTGGCTGGCCCACAGTCCATTGCCTGCCAGGGGCCAAGAGCTGCTCTGACTACCCGAGGACTCTATTTTTCAACCCAAGTGCCTTCAACTGACCCCTGACTCCTGACCTCTGGCCCCAGCTGCCCTGCCCTGCCCTGCCCTGCCCTTCCTAAGGGGCCAGGAAGCCCCTAGAAGCTCCACTGTAGACGTGGGCATTGACACCTGGCTCGCCTCAAGAGCAAAGTCTGTGCAAGGGGCTCGGTTCTCAGGCCCCAGCCTGGCCCACCATGGCACAGCGGCTCCAGGATGAACTGGCTGCTTTCTTCTTTGAATATGACACTCCCCGAATGGTGCTCGTACGCAACAAGAAGGTGGGCGTCGTCTTCCGCCTGATCCAGCTTGTGGTTCTTGTCTACGTCATTGGGTGAGTCTGGGCCCCCTACCTGCCACCCTCTTGCACCAGCTTTCAACCTGGGCCTTTCCTCCACGCTCTGGGATGCCCCCATGACCCCAAGGAGCCCCCTTTTTCTCCATCGGTTGTCACCCTCCCTGACAAACTGTAGTGCTCTTCAGAAGGAATGGAAGCCTGCTAACTCACTGTCAAGGTGGGGCATTGAGGTAGAGGGGAAGTCCTGCCCTGGGTCATATGGTGAACAAGAGGCAAAGACGTTGGGTTCTAAGGAACTGACTCACTGTTAATGGTCTCTCAAGTGGTGAGTGGTGCTGGAGGCCAGGGCCCCAGCAAACCACAACCAAAGTCCTACTTCCGACCTCCTAGCCAAGCCAGGCCACTACTAAGAGACAGAGGCCACGCCCCATTTTACAAGCCAAAGAGGGACAGGCCCTGTTCCCACCTGCCCTGCCTAAATTAGAGGCATCCTGAGATATTTGAAACCCCCAGAGCAAAGAAACTTTCAAATTCAGAACACCTGGGACATTAATGATGGCATGTCGGGTGGCATGGAGGTCAGTTCAGGTCCCAGGGATGACTGCTCCTTTCTAGGCATCTTGACACCTGTCCCACTGTCCCAGGAGTGCAGAGGCAGGAGTAAGGTGGTACTCCCCTGAAGTCTTGCTGTCCTGGGAGCCAAGACAGGCCTGGCAGTGGCTTACACATATGCTTGTGTGAGCACTCCATGTGCTGTGTGTGCATGTGTGTCGTACCTAGAGCTCTGTGTGGATGCACGTGTTCTCCTGTGTCTGGGCATGTGCCTACTGGGGGTGGCTGCTGGCTGTGTCCCTGTGGCTGGGGATCCACATGTGCATGTCGTGTGACTGAGGTGGCCGGCCACCTCGGTGTGTGTGCCCCAGGGAGGTGGGGGGGTAATCATATCCACTCAGAGTGATACTGCAGAGGGCTCTTGGAGGCCCCAGGTCCAGTGAAGGAGTTTCAGCTCTTGCTGAGGGGGTTTGGGGATGCCTGGCAGAATCACTTTGCTGTGTGATTCTGAGGGCCCTGCCCCTCTGGTCTCCATGTCCCCGTTTTTGCTGAGGGACCAAACCAGGACTGCTGACTAGAGCCCAGGGTGGGCTGACTAGGAGACCAAACAGTGACCATATCGCTCTGGTCCCTCCAGGGCCTCTGATATCCAAAACAGCCTTCCCTCTACTCCATCTGGGGGAAGGTGGAGTCAAAGGTGGAGGTCAGGTCGAGCCAAAGTGGAGTCAGGTGGAGTCGAAGCCAGGACCTAGCCCTGTGACACCTTTCGGCCTCTGCCTCCCTCCTGTTCACAGACCAATTTGACATCTGCAAATGTCATTTGAGCTTGTGAGGAAAACTGAGTGGTGGAGCTTTCACATAGCAAGTCCCAGCTAGAGCTGAGGTCTCTTGACCCCCAGGCCTCAGCACTGCCTTCCCCTTTCCCACCTCACAAGGGCTCTGAGAACGTTGTAATGGGGCCCTGATGCTGGGATGCCAGGCACAGGATGGGCCTAAAAGCTCACCGTTAGCGGCACTCCTGACCTTCCAGGGAAAAGACAGATTGCCTGCCCAGGCCCAGCCCATCCTTCACCAGAAGAGGCTGGGAGAATGTTGTCCTCACTGTGGCCCCTATTGCTCCTTATTTCTGCTTTCAGGTCAGCAGTGGGAGCAGCACCAGGGCCCTCTTGTGTGTTGGTCACAGACTGTCAGAGGGAAAGCGACACTCCTCCCACCCCACTCCCAGCTGTACCATATGCTCCAAGCCAACATCCAGTCCTGAACACATACCTCCAGTAACAGAGACTTGCCTACCTCCCTCCTTGCTTTCCTCCCTCCTAAGGACAGCCTACTCAGTTTCCAAATGCATGTGGCCTCCTCAGTGTTGGTGAGGCTCAGAGATACTGGATGATTTAGTCTGGATCTCACAACCGGAAAGAAGCTGAACCAGATTTGAATCCAGCTGCATGGATCCAAAGTTGGCCTTGATAACCTGGAAAGGAAACATCCTCAGAGAGGGGCACTGACTTGCCCAAGTCATATAGCAGAGAGAGGAAGGCAGTGTCCCCCACGACCCCACCCTCAAGCCCAGACCTCCTGTTCCGACTGCAACTCCTGCTGTCTCCAGCACCCTCGTCTGGCCACTGCCCGCTGCTTTGCTGGCCGCTCAGGTGCAGACAGAAACTGGTCTGGGCTTGGTCTTACTCTCTCAGGTTTTAGTTTCCCAACTGTTCCACGGAGCAAGGGTGGGGGGCTCCCTCTAAAGATGTTGTACGCAGGCTTGTTTCTGAGAAGGGACGCCTTTCTTGAATTAGCCCTCTTCCCAAGGCCCCTGTCTGTCTGAATGTCTGGTCCTGTGGGTGCTGCAGGGTACAAAGGGGAACATGGGAGAAGAGCCAGACTCCCGCATTCCAGAGACAGAGGCACAAACAAGATGGGGGATGGGCAGACACAAAGACAGAACCAGACAGAGGGACGTTGGAGCACAACCACTCAGATGAAGAGAGAGGTCCTGAGGCTGAGAGATGGTGAATTACTAAGACAGAGGCAGAGAGGCTGAGACGTTGAGAACCCAAACAGACTTAGAAGGCAAACTGAGCTTGTGTTCTCTATCAGTCACACTCTTCTGAGAAGTCCATGGCAAATGGAGGGAGCAAGTGGGTCTGAGGCCCTGGTGGGCTGAGCTAAGATCTCACTCTTTTTGTCTCAAATTAAAATGGTTAATTTGCAGTTAGAATTGTCTCCTGGGAGGTGATGAGCTCGCTGTAATTCAGTACACAGGCAGTGGGCTGTCATCCAGGACCTAGCAGGCCCAAACAAGGAGTGTACTGGGATATGTCCTTGCCTGGAGGCTTTGGTTTGGAGAGGACAGAGGTCTGGCCGCGGTATACAGGAGGGTCCCAGTGAAATCTGTGAATGCTGCTTGGTAAGTGGAGCCTGGGAAGGCTTCCTGGAAGAGACGACAGAGTGGTGGAACCAGCCTTGAGCAAAAACACCTGGGGGCTATAAGCCAGGCAAGCCTGCTCTTGGCTTTCCTTTTGCACCTCTCCCCCCCCCCTCCGTCATCTACCTCACACAGAGCTCTTGAGAAGTTCACTTGCTTCTGAGATTTTCAAATGGATCCTGGAACATACCAATCAGGGATAAGGATAGACACAAATTATTGCTGGGGAAAATGCATCCAGGGACATTTCTACAGCATCTTCTCTGTGCCTACTGCTGTGCTGGGAGCCATGGGACAGAGGTGCGGTACAGGGTGAGCAAAGGAAAAGTAAGGAGTGGAGGATGAGTTAACCAGGACTCTTTTGATTCCTAGAGAAGAGTGGGGCTATTGAGTGGTTTATGTAACTGGAAAAAAAAAAAAAATCAATGCAGGCTTCATGGAAGCTGGATCCCCCATGAGGAGGGCACGGGAGGAACAAGTTCTACAGGGAAATGGGGAGTTCACGTTGGTCCCATTTGGGTTCTCCAGAGAAGCTAGCCAGGATTTTCTCCTCTTCCCAGCTCTGCTATCCTCTGGGCTTCATTCTTAGGCAGAGTCTCTCTGTCCTCATAGTGGCAAAATGGCCACCAGCAGCTCCAGCCTGACATCTCACCAGCTTAGCCATCGCTAGGGCATAAGACTCTCTCCTTTCCCAGAGTTCCAGCAAAAGTCCCAGATCCAACTCTTACTGGCAGGGGTCACGTCAAGTGCCTACCACAAAACCAACTGTTGTGGCCAAGGAAATGAAAAACCCTGGTTGGTAGAGTCTCGTTGTGTGCCTACCTGGTCCAAGCACTCCTGCTGGAAAGCAGTGTGATCAAAGGCCCTGGGGCAGGAAAGAAACAGCAAAAGAGTCACTAAGGTTAGGCTGTGGAGCATGAAAGGACCTAGGGGAAAGGAGGTGGAGGGGTGAGCACAGCCACTGATTCAGGCCTCTGAATGCCAGGCTGGGCAACATGGGCCTTCTCCTGTAGGTCGTGGGGAGCCATAGAAGGATGTCTAGCCGGGGAAGGCCCAGGGCAGGCAGGGGATGGGGTGAGGGTGGAGGCCAGAGGCAGGGCACTGTGAAGAGGCAGCAGTGATAAGAACAGAGGAGGAGGCCATGCCAAGGCAGAAGCAGTGAGCGTGGAAGACAGGAGTAGTCATCCTGGTGGGCCCCACACCAGGGAGATGTGTGTGGAGGGGGTGCCCACTGCTTGGTTTTTGCCCATTATCGTTGCAGCAGGCCATGGGCCCAGCACAGCCCAAGTTTTTGACTTCTCAAGAGCAGTGAGAAATTGAAATTTTTAAGCAAAGGAACCTCTGGTTATTTAGAGGTTGGTGACTCATTAAAAAAATTTTTAAACACAAATCGTCAGCCTAACTTATCTGCAGACAACATGTAGCTTAACCTCCAAACACTCAGTGTGGGCCCCAGCTCTAAACTCAGTCCCTCCCAGGCTTGGAGTCTGGTCTTGCCCTCCCTGAGGCTGCTGTGCTCTATAGCATCTGCCTGGCCTGCTCAACTCCTGCCTGTGGTTGTACCTTGTGCCCCCACCAGCCACAACATATCGTGCCATCCCCATGCCGGGGTTCCCCTGGCGTCTGTCCCGGCTCCTCTCACATCTCAGCCTCCCCCAGCAAAATCCCTTTGGGTCCTTAGAGGAATGCCTGGAGGACAGAAGGGCCCAAAGGATGTGGGGGTAATAGAGAATGAGGGTGTGAAGATGATGCCCAGGCTTTGAGGAGGATGGGGTGGGTGTGGTGCCACCCTCTAAGACGAGGGCCCCAAAGGGGCAAGTTCTGTGGGGGACATGAGGCGTTCAGGTTGGTCCCACTGAATTTTTGTTTTGAGATATTAGTCAAATGCCATAACATTCACCCTTTGAGAATGTACAGTTCAGTGGTTTTTCGTATAACCACAAAGTTGTGCCACCATCACCACTCTCTAGTCTACAACATGTTCACTACTCCAGAAAGAAACTCTGTACTCCTTAGCAATAACTCCCCATTCTTTCTCTCTACAGGCTACTTTGCCCACTCTGGACATTTCATAGAAATAAAATCATATGCGGCCTTTTGTGCCTGGCTTCTTTCACTTAGTATAATATTTGTAAGGTTCATCTATGTTGGTTATAACATGTATCAGCAGTTCATTCCTTTTTATGGCCGAATACTACCATTTCACTGTATGGATATGTCACATTTGATTTATCCATTCGTGGTTGATAGTCATTTGGGTTGTTTCCACTTTTGCTTCTTATGTATCATGTTGCTGTGAACACTTGTATACAAGTTTTTGTGAGGGCATATTTTCAGTTCTGTTGGGTATATAACTAGGAGTGGAATTGCTGAGTCAAGTGGTAATTCCGTATTTAACTCTTTGAGGAATTGCCAGGTTGTTTTGCAAGGGTTTGGGTTGAGTTTGAGGTACCTGTGTGATGTCTGGGACGAGGGACCAGGGGAGGGAGAAGGAATGGGTGTCACAAAGCGCTGGGTCTTATAGACATGTATGTAAGATTCTTGAGTGCAGAATTTTGGTTGGCTTTGTTCACTCCTATATTTTTAGTGCCTAGAACACTGCTTGGCACATAATAAGGGCTCAATCAATAAATGTTTGTTGAATCACTAAATGAATGTGTGGAATTAGATCTCCAGGGAGAGTACAGAAGTGGGGATAAAAATCTGGGGACATGATGTATCTGTGACAGCTTACATGAGGTTCTGCTTGGGCTGGGAATAGAAGCCAGGGCGATGGGGGCAGGTGGACATATAAAGAGGAATTACTAACTCAAGACAGTGAAAATCAGAGGATTATTTGTTATGTGCCTACTGCATGCTAATTTCCTTAATGAGAACGCATGGGGAATCCCCTAGTCACCTAGACCTGCTTTCTTCCTGGGGCCCAGGCCACAGTTCAGTACCGGGGTGGGGTATTTGCTCCTATTTGTTGAATGGACAGCAGTGTTTTTGAGGTAAGTGCCATCATATATGTTTTACTGAGAAAGCCAGCACTCAGAGATGAGGCTAAAGTCTCACAGCTGGTGAGTGGCTGTGCTGATACCTGAATCCTGGCTTCTGTTACCCTTTGGGGGCCATACTCTTGGCCACTCCGCTATGTGGAGGAGTTCAGAACATGGAGCAGCTCCCCGTCATCCCCAAAAGCTCCTCTGAGCTTGGGCATGGAGTCAGGATCCTCCCCGCAGGAAGGAGGCTGAGGAGGGCAGGGGTAAGTGATGCTCCCAGTCTCCCTGATAAGGCTGGGAGCATGAGGACTGGAGCTTTTGTCATGCCCCGCCTGGCGCCATCTGGGACCTGCAGGGGGCAGCAGTGACCATGCTTAGGCTTGGGAGGGGGCTCCTCCTGGGCCAGGCTGGGGGAGGGGCCTGGAGAAGATGAAGTGGGGAGCAAAGGAGGGAAGAGGAAGATCTGGGCGGGCTGACTTCCTGGGGCCTGGGGTAGGGAGACAGCCCCCAGAGAGCTAGCACTGACTCTGGGACAGATGCACAGAGAACTGCGGCGAGTCCTGAGCTCTGGAATACAGGAGAGGGGCTTTGAGCTCTGCTTGAGCAGTCAGACAGAGCCACAGGTGAGCTCACAGATTTCCCCCGGAGATACACAGCTACACACTCTGATGGGTACCACAAGCGGACACATACAGTCAAACACAGAGTTACACTGAATCTCCATGCATTCTTTCCTGAAGGAAAAGGACTATACCCAGGACTCTCAGTTGTAAGCAAGAGGAACCAAACCCAAACTGGCTTAAATAAAGAAAGGGGGGGAAAGGGGGGCGGGGGGAAGAAAGGGAATTTATTAGCTCATGTAACAGAAAAGTCCAGAAGTAGATTTTTTTAACATGCTTCAGGCATGGCTAGATCCAGGTGCTCAACCATTGTCAGGAGGCTGCCCTCTTTCATCTCCTGACCTAACTTTCCTCTAAGTTGGCTTCATTCTCAGACTTACTCTCTGTGAGGTAGCAAGATGACTAACCATAGTTTTGGTCTTATAGCTACCTTCCTTAGCTACCTAACAGAAAGGATGTCTCTTTCCCAGTAATTCCCAGAAAAATCCTAGCCTCCTTGCTGAGACTCCCCAGGTTGTGTGTCCATCTTTAGACCTATCACTATTGCTAGGGCAAAGGAACATTGATTGGCAAGCCTTGGTCATGTGACCCACCCTCCCTACACCCAAGGCCTGAGTCACTCCACAAAGACCTCAACTGGGGCCACATAATACAAGCCCTTCAGAGGGCCACTTGCCCCCTCTGTTTCCTTTCCAGTCCCCTTGCCAGGAGCTTCCAGCATGGCTGAGATAATCATAGCTAATATCTCTGTAGTGCTTACTGCATGCCAGTCCCCCTTCTACGTGATTTACGTGCAGTAAGTCACAGCAAGTACAATTAGTACTATTATTGTTATTCTCGTTTTACAGATGAGGAAACAGAGGCAGAGAGGATTGAATAGCTTATCCCCAATCACACAACCCATGAGTAGTGTAGCTGGGATTCCAATCCATCCTCTTGGGCACCAAAGGCCAGGTTCCCAGCCATCAGGTTCTGCTAGTTCTCAGTAGAAGAACCTCAGGAAGGAAGGAGCACTCTGAGCATGAGGATTATGGTCCAAGAAGCTTGGCCTCTAGGCCCCAGCAAATCCTGCTTTTGGAAAAGGATCTGAAAGAGTCCTTCAGTGGATCTCCTCTCTGGGAATTAGTATTTTCCTAGTAAAATAAGGGTGGGACTTCAGGTACAGGCCAGCTCCGGGAAGCAGGTGAGGCTCTCCTGCCCCCGCCCAAGATGTAGCATTAGGAGCAGAGTGATGCATCTGGAGAGGGGAAGGGAAAGTATTTGACATGTCTGGCTGGTGCCAGAAAGGGCAGCAGCCGACATAGCCTCATGCCATCTTTGAATGGCCTGGCCCAGCTCTGACTCCTTTAACCCCCAAAACACCCCACAGGTGGGTGTTTGTCTACGAGAAGGGCTATCAGACCTCAAGTGGCCTCATCAGCAGCGTGTCTGTGAAACTCAAGGGTCTGGCCGTGACGCAGCTCCCAGGCCTGGGCCCCCAGGTCTGGGATGTCGCTGACTACGTCTTCCCAGCCCAGGTGAGCTGACTCAGGGGTACACCTTCCATCCTGGCTCAGAGTGGGGGCTGGGCTCTGTCCAATCTCCCTATTGGACTGGTCCAGCTCCTATCTCCCTCTGGGCTTCAGCTTCCCTAACTGTGAATGAGGGGCAAAAACAAGTTGTAATATCATCCCATTCTGACATCGTGGGGTATGGAGGCTGCTGGGTGTCACACGGATTCTGGGAGCTCGTTGGGGCAGTGCTTGTGTTCTCGGGGCTGTTCTCCCAACTTCTGAGAGAACCCTGTCCTGCCCTCCCCTACTCCTCATCTCCAGGGGGACAGCTCCTTTGTGATCATGACCAATTTCATTGTGACCCCCCACCAGGCTCAAGGCTACTGTGCAGAGGTGAGGACGGCTACCCATCCCCTCTCCCCACTTCCTGGATCCACAGGGGAAAAGAAATGGAAGAGGAAGTCCCCTTGGGCACTGAAGATAGGCTTCCTCAGGGGGAAGCAATGGGGGAATTTTATGCACAGATTCACACAAAGTAACAGTCTGCTCTTGGCCGTGCTGAGGTTTCCCTCCCAGCTGTGTGTCAAGCAAGATGCTGAGCTTCATTAGGTGCTCACCTAATCCCCAAGCCCTAACGTCTCTGCTCCCTTCCCGGCGACCCTGGCAAGAGCACAGCTGGGCATGAGCCCAGAGGGGTCCTGGGAGGGGACTGGGGGAAGGAAGCTGTAAGCAAAGGTCACCCCAAAGCTGTCTAAGACTGCCTCACGACTTCCCTAGGGCCCTGGGGGTAGGAGGGGCTCTCCTTAGGACACCACCCAAGGGGCCTGGAATCAGCTGCTCTCCCTTCCCCCAGCACCCAGAAGGGGGTACATGCTCAGATGACAGTGGCTGCATTCCAGGGAAGGCAGAAAGGAAGGCTCAAGGTAAGGTCGGCCTCCTCCCATCCCCCTGCACAGCCCTAGTTCAGCTCCAGGCTTTCTCCCCCAGGAAGTCCTTCCTGCCGTCCTAGCCTTGGCCTGCCCTGTCCCAGACCCAGCCACATTTCTGTCCTCAGGCTTCTGCTCTTGGGTGTCCCATCACTGGGGGCTCTTGGGGATGTGGGGCCTCCTCTCTTTCCCCAGCTTGGAGTGGGCACCCACGGGCTCCTCCCTTGCTCCAGGCATCCGCACAGGCAAGTGTGTGGCCTTCAACGACACTGTGCAGACGTGTGAGATCTTTGGCTGGTGTCCTGTGGAGGTGGATGACAATGTCCCACGGTAACGCTTTATCCACCCAGGGAGCCGGGAGTGGGTTCCCCAGCCCAGACAAAGGGGCATCTGGATCCATGTTCTGGAAAGGATCTGTCCTCCCTTCTCCCAACCCCACCCTTACCCCATCTGTATGCCCCAAGCCAATGATCCTCCAGCCCCTGGTTAAGGGGCCCGAGAGTCCACCATTACAGCACACCCATCCCACCCCCCCACCCCCCGCATGCCAGAGGCCACAGGAAGATCCCATGGGTTCTCACACCCCCACACCCATGACAAACGCTGCTGGGCACATGGGGGACTCCTGAGGAGGGGATGGTAAGTGAGTACAGTCTCCTCCAGTCCTGCCCTTCTCCAAGAGGCCGAGAACTTCACTCTCTTCATCAAGAACAGCATCAGCTTTCCACGCTTCAAGGTCAACAGGTTTGTGGGAAAAGGGGGCAGAAATGCAGGACCCCCCCCACCCCACCCCAAGGCTACTCCAGCTGGTCTCAACTGTCTCTGTCACCTTCCATTCCTGCTGATTTCACTTTGAAGGCAGAATCCTGAGCTGGGCTCCTGGGGTGGGCTGCCTTTAGTCTCCAACGGCTATGGAGGGGGGTTTATGGAGCTTCTGAGGGATCCCCAGAGCTCTGGGGTGTGGTGGGCACCCTCCCAGCTGGCATTCTGCTGCCACCCGTGCCCTCCACCCCCATGTAGGCGCAACCTGGTGGAAGAGGTGGATGCGGCCTACATGAGGACCTGCCTCTATCACAAGATCTTGCACCCGCTGTGCCCTGTGTTCAAGCTGGGCTATGTGGTCCAAGAGTCAGGACAGAATTTTAGCACCCTGGCTGAGAAGGTATGGTGCCAGGCAAATGAGGAGGGCTGGGTCCTGGAACCAGCAGGTCAAAGAAGGCTTTTCAGTCCCAGATAATGACCCCTCAAGCCTCTCTGGTATGGGTTGAATATATATATGGATTTATTCCCTAATGCTGAGGGCTTCTGAAGCTCAGGCCTGAGTCCTCAGCAGGGCCTGGTATGGACCTGACACAGAGGAGGTGCCCAGAATGAATGGACGTGGGCAGACATTTTCACCTGGATGTTTGCTGAGGTCACACTGTTTTTTAAATATTGGATAAAAGCAGCTTGAATTCCATGCCATATGGCCCTGAAAAGTCCTGTGCCCTGCTCAGGAATCCTGAGAATTCCAGAATCTGGGATTTGTACACTCACCTGGGGTTCTGAGAGAAGCAGTACCTTGTAAGGAGCACAGACCTGTCTGACTGGGTTCAAATCCCGGCTCTGCCCCTAATGAGCAATGCGGCCTCACACTAGTCCTTACCTTGGGTGTGTCTGCCCCTAATGAGCAATGCGGCCTCACACTAGTCCCTTACCTATACAGTGGGGACAGTAATAGTACCAGGCTCACGGGGTTGTCCTGAAGATCAAGTGAGTTCATGCACGGGATGGCACTTCAGTACTGCCTGGCGTGCGGTGACCCTGTGACCATGTTCCCACATGATCATTAACAGCCTTCTCCTACAGTTGCCTGTTTAAGGATGGAAATCAGCTGCTTCTCTGTGATATCACACATACACACAAAACTTGCTCACGACACATTTATCTAGAACAGGGATCAGCAAGTTTTAAAGTTTATCTTTAAAGGGCCGGAGATTAAGTATTTTCATCTTTGCAGGCCATATGGACTCTGTTCGAACCATTCAAGTCAGCTGCTATAGGGAAAAGCAGCCACAGAAAATACGAAAACAAGTTCGGCCCTTGGGCCTCAGTTTGCCAAACCCTGGAGGGGGCTTGCTCTGTATAAACACACACAACCAGAAAGCTGAATGTTAGACTTCCCTGTTCCTAAAACCTCCCTGCCACCTGCACTAGGAACTTTCACCCTAACCATCATCCACAGACACTTGCATACCTACCTCCTGCCTAGTTGCCCAGCTCCACACATGCTCTGACCACTTCCCAACTCTCCTGTTGCTCAGCCTACCCCCACCTGTCCCTGGTCCTCACCTTGCTCAGAGGAGCTTCACTTTCTCAAGTTTTCTCTTCCTAGCCCAGGTCTTTACAGACTCACTCTTTAATGCAACACTATTTCCTTGCCTTCCACACTGTGACTTTCACTAGGAACTCAGGAGTCAGTGATAAATGAGACAGACAGCCCCACCCTCACGGAGTTTATAGTCTTAGAGGAGATGGGTTAGTAATCACACAAAATAAATAGACGATTTCAAAGTGACAAATGTTCCAGGAGAAAACAGCGACTAACAGGCACACGTTTTTAGTCTGGAGGTGGTCATTAGGGAAGGCCTCTCAGAGAAAGTGACCAAAGGATAAGAAAGAGCCAGCCTTGTGGAACTGGGGGGAGCTGTATGTGCAAAGGCCCTGAGGTAGAAAGAACTTGATGTATTCTAGAAACCATCAGAAAGTTGGAGTGTGATGGGTGGGAGGTGGGGCCGGAGAGGGTGACAGGACCCCACCCTGCAGCAGCTTCTCAGTGTCTCTTCTCAAACAAAAAAATGCTCCCCCACCTTCAAGACATTGCTGGCACCAGGGTAAGACAGGAGTTCCTTGATCCTGAAGCCCTGGGTTTTAAACACCTGTGTCCCTGCAGGGCGGGGTGGTCGGCATCACCATCGACTGGAACTGTGACCTGGACTGGCATGTGCGGCACTGCAAACCCATCTACGAGTTCCATGGACTGTATGAGGAGAAAAACCTGTCTCCAGGCTTCAATTTCAGGTGCCTGCCAGGACCCCACCAGTGCACCCTTCCTTGGGCTCCCGGAACCCCTTGAGGGGTTTTCTACTCCCAGAACCTCTTGGGGCCAAGTAAGTGTCCCCAGGAAGAAAGCAGAAGGAAGCTGGGCAGCTCCCATTCTCCTGGGTCTGGCCAAGCAGGGAGCCCTGAGGGAACAAGACCTTGGCAGCCTGAGCCCCCACCCTTTGAGGCCCACCTGGCCAGGACTGGTGGGGGAAATCCCTGACATCAGGAGTTAGGGTGAGGATTGAAGACAGCATTCCTGGAAGGGGGCCTGGGGTGTTGGGGGCATGGGACCGTCCTCATGGACCTCTGAGGGCTCCTGCTGAACTCCAAGAACACTGGACCCAAAACTGTTCTCCATCACCCTTTTCTGCAACCTCACCCTTTCCCCAAGGTTTGCCAGGCACTTTGTGGAAAACGGGACCAACCACCGCCACCTCTTTAAGGTGTTTGGGATTCACTTTGACATTCTCGTGGATGGCAAGGTGAGTGTCCAGTGTGAAGGACAGCCAGACATATTCTTAGTTCCTGTGAGTGCTTGTTGGGTGTCCATGGTTATAGACCACAGGAAGTTGACTAGGCTTCATTCTGCAGTTTTACTGCTAATAACAGATGGGCCTGGGTACCCAGTGAGGGTAGGTCTTTCCAGCCGGTACCTTGCCTCCTCCACTACCTCCCTGCGTCCAGGGAAGCAGAGCCAAGGTCAAAACCCAGGGCTTCTAACCAGCAGCTGGGTCCCCGTGTAGAGCTAGAGCTGTAGGGAGCAGGCTGTGGGGCCAGCTAATGGTGGGGGTAGAGGGGAGAAAGGGGGAGCTCCTTGCCCCGGGTCTAGCCTGGGGGTTTCTGAGGAAGGCCTTTTCCACCTGGCTCCTTCTGACTGTTAATCCTTCTCTTCCTGGGCCCTGCCACCAGGCTGGGAAGTTTGACATCATTCCCACGATGACGACCATTGGCTCTGGGATTGGCATCTTTGGGGTGGTAAGTGCTAGGGTCATGGGGTCACTGCACTAAGGTCAGTCCCTCCCCTTCCACATCTCAGTGGCAGCCATAGTTCTCTTACCCCATCCTTACTGAGCCCACCCCACCACCCCAGACCCACAGTATGTCTAAAGAAACTGAGGCCCAGGGTTGGGGCAGGACAGAGGTGGGATGGGGTGGTCTTGATCTCCTGAGGGACCTGCAGTGCCTCATCCCCCGCTTCCAGAACCTGAAATCTAGGTAGAGCAGGTTTGAGCCAGGCCCCCCAGCCAGAAAGGACTGTTGTGGGATATGGACGGTTCTGTCCCTGCCCCCAGATCCCCATGTTCTCTCTGCCCCTTCCCTGCCCTCAGGCCACGGTTCTCTGTGACCTGTTGCTGCTCCACATCCTGCCCAAAAGGCACTACTACAAGCAGAAGAAGTTCAAGTACGCGGAGCGCATGGGGCCAGGGGCGGTAAGAGAACTCCCCGAGTGTGGGCCTTTTGGGGGCCTTAGGCCCGCACGTCTGTGTTGGGGGGCCAGCTGCTTCCCTGCAGCTGACGTTTTATCCCCCTGCCCTGCTTACACAGGGTGAGCGTGACCCCGCAGCCACCAGCTCCACCCTGAGCCTGCAGGAGAACATGAAGGCATCCTGACCCTCAGCCCCTGCCTCCTGACTGGACACAGCATGAGGCTTCAGGCAGGGGCCCTGCTGGGGGCCCAGGACAGAACGGTCTCCGCAGGAGCTCTCCACGCTCTTAGCCAGGCAGACACTAGGCCTCGGCAGCCCAGAGGGGACACTGGGAGAGACCTGAGCAAGTCTGGGCTCCGGCCCCAACTCCACAGCCCCCAAAGGGAGCTTCGTACCAGCCTCAGCCGCTCCTGGTCTAGAGGGGCTGGGGCCGGGCAAGGGCTCCTCTCACACCCTCCGCCTGTGCTTCCCTCTGGGCCCTCAGGCACCGCACTGCCTCGTGTCTCCAGATTCATGCTTTCCCATATGGCAGACACTAGCCACGATGACCACTTACATTTATATTAATTTAACCTGAATAAAATAAAAAAATCAGTTCCTAAAACTAGCCACATTACAACTGCTAAATAGATACATGTGCCTAATGGCTGCCATATTGGACCACATGGACTATTGCAGAAAGTTCTACTGGACAGCTCTGCTTGAGCCCTGTTTCTTACTGGCCCCAGATTTTCCTAGGGAGCTTATCAACAGTGCAGGCACCCGGGTCTACCTCAGATCTCCTGAACTAGAATCTCTAGGGCTGGCCACAGATATGCAAGGATGGCAAACTCCCCAGGCCATTTCAAAGACTAAAGTTTAGGAACCATTCCCGATTGGGTATCAGATTTAGCCTGGGCCTGCCTGACCTGGCAGATGCAGGTTTTGAGTAGGTGTGTGGTATACCTACAAGTCACATGGTCTCATGTACACACCCCCATGTACATGTGCACACTCATCTGCATGCACACCCCCCTCCCATCCACACTCTGGTTTGGAACAGCCTGGGCCCTGCAAACACAACCATCTGAATGTACCTCTGCCCTCAAGTACAGACACATGGTCCATGCCACAACACCTCCATGGAGATATGCTTCTCCCTAAGTGTGTCAGGCCAGGACAGTCCCTTCAAGCCATGAATCCTCACTCAGCTACCTTGGGTTGGGTTGGAGCCCTGGCCAAATCCCGGGCTCCCTGCTTGTGGCCCAGCCTCAGCACCGAAGGCCTGCCCAATTCTGTCTGAACACAAGGTCTGGGGAAAGGGAGTGGTGGAGTACAATAAAAGGAGGACAAACTTCTGCCTTCTGTACTTTTCCCCACTTTGCCCCTCTGAAACTAGGTGTCCCCATCTGTGGAATGCGGGGCTGAGCTGAGAGATCTTTGAGGTCCTCTGGATCTCTTGGTAGACAGTGGTGAGTCGCCACTTAGGCCCTGAGCCCAGCAGGGTCAGTGCTGGAGATCAGCTCACCTCTGTCCATGGGCCACTGTACCCAAACATTGGAGCTCTTTCTGGTCCTCCATGTACCCCTTCTACAGCTTTGAGAGGCCTGGCACTCAGACAGCAGACACTCTCTGGAGCGGCCTCAGGAAAGCAGGAATAAGAACGGGGCTGGCTGCTCCAGGAGAGAGACCTGAGGGAATCTCAACGAGGGGAGGAAGGTCTTGAATGGAGATAGTGTGGAAGGATTTTCCAGGGGCCCTGCGGTGGGCAAGACCTGCAGTCTGGACCTATGGCCAGGCAGGGTCTCTGGGAAACCCCCATCACCACACTCTATCTAGACCAGTGCTGTCCAATAGCAATGATGGAAACATTCTCTATCTGTGCTTCCCAAAATAGTATTCACTAACCACATGTGGCCACTAAATACTTAAAATGCGGCTAGTGTAACCAAGGAACTGAATTTTTAATTTTATTTACTTTTAATTAATTTAAATCACCATGCGTGGCTAGTGGCAGTAAGAAACGATACTGGACAGCACAGGCCAGCCCCCTCCCTGTCCTTCAGGCCCTTGACTTTCTGCCCTCTTCCCCAGCTAAGAACCATCCTTCGGATTTTACAGGACAGGAACTCCCTCTTCTTCCCTCCCTTTGTTCTTCAGTCCTGCCTGCTTTTGCACCTCCTGCCCCCTTCTTTCCTGAACGAGCCGAGGATTCCTCCTTTGTATCCAGCCCTTCTATCCAGCCCAGAGGCCTCCCAGCAGAGGCCGCCTCGCCTCTCCAGTACCTGCATCTGCTCCTCCCGGCCCTCGTTCTTCTGCAGCTCTGCCTGCTCTACCTTCACTGCCAACATTCCAGAAAGACCTACACGTCTACACTTCCCTCAGCATCCCACCCTCTGCAATTGGCCTCCAGCCCCCACCCCCACTTCTTCTAAATGCCCTTGTCAAGGTTACCGACAGTCCTTGCTGCCAAATCGAAGCAGACCCTTCAGCCCATAGCCTGCTTGGCCTGTCAGCCTCTGACACTGTTGACCAAGCCCTCCTTTGTGGAAAGATTTCCTTCCACCAACTCCTAGGACCCACCCTCTCCTGATTTTCCAGCCAGACCAGTATACAGGGAAAAGACAGGTTTCAACCGCAGCTCTGCCAAGGGTCACTGTACGTCCTCAGGCAAGTTGCTGAACTCTCCAAGCTTCTCTGTGAGTCAGGGACAATAATAGCCTCTACTCAGATTCGGGTAAGGTAAGATCTGTAAAGTGCCTAGCACAGAGCCTGGCATACCAGTAGCGCTCTGTCTCTCCATCCAGCCTCCCTTTCAATGGTGGAGTCAGCTAGTTGTCCCTGGGTACCTCTTCTGTCTACGATGATGCAACCCTTGGTTCTTAGCTGGGTATGTGGCTGCCTAGCATAGAAACTGCATTTCCTGCCTCCTCTTGCGGCTGGGTCTGGTCATGTGACTAAGTTTTAGCTAATGGGATATACGTGGAAGTACCATGTGACTCCTTTTGGGAACTTCCCATAAAAGAGAGCTGGTGCAGATCCTTTGCCCTCTTCTTCATCCTTGTCTTCATCCACTGCCTGGAATGCATATGTGATGGCTAGAGCTCTAGCCACCACCCTGAACCATGAGGACAAGGGTCATAGATTGCTGGAGCAGTTAAGTGGAAAGAGCCACATCTGGAAGGTCTTTGTGGAGCAGAGCTGACCTACTGGCCTTGGTCTGTCTTCTCTGAGGCTCTTACGTGGGATTTCTGGTACCTGAGTCAAAATTGATCCTACGTGGTGCAGAAATCTTTCCTCCTTAAAACAAGTGTTCTGTCCTTGACCTCTGCTTTATTTGCTCTGAGTTATCTCACCCTTTCCCATGGCTATACTTACAATTATGGGTCTTTTCCGACAACTTCCAAAACTGTCTTTCTGGCCCAGCCCTCCTTCCTGAACTCTAGTCCCACATAATCCAACCTGAGTGCCATATCTAATTACTCGTTAGACAAACATCTTTTGAGCACCTACATGCTCATGATGTGTCAGACAGTATGTTGGGTGAATTAGACACAGACCCTGTCCAGAGGGGGAACAGGCAAGTAAATGGATGCTAAGTACAAGGAAATCCCTAGGAGGGGCTGCTAACCCATGCTGGGCAGCGAGGAGGTCATAGGGAAGGACTCCTGGCGGAAGGGACATTGAACCAAGCCCTGAAAGGGGTGAGACAGGTAGGTGGTTAGGACTGAGATCATGGAGGGCTTGTTTGGACCTATTCTCAGGATACTGATGAACCACAGAAGATTCCTAAGCAGGAGCTGACTAGTTAGACTTAGGTTTCTGAGAGATAGCTCTGGAGGCCTAGTGGAGAAAGGCCAGTAGGAGGAGTGAGACTGGATGGGGATGGGGCTGCTGCAGTAATCCAGGTACACAAAGAGGGTGGCCTGAGCTAAGAGAGAGGCAGAGAGCTGGAGAGAAATGAATGGATTCCAGCGATATTTAAGAGCCAGCATGAGCGGGGCTGGTTGGGGCTAGGGTGACTCCTAGTTTTCTGGCTCCAGACTGAGACAGGGACACAAGAGGCCAGGTTTGGGGAGTGATATGGAGCTCTGTTTTGGGCAAGTGGTGGGGTGAGGTGCCAGAGGATTCACAAGTGAACTTAGCATAATTGAATCAAGAGCTGGTGAGCAATCCAGAGGACAGGTATGGGGATGGGCAGAGTCCCCAGGAATTGCCACCGTAAAGGTCAGGACGTCCTGACCTCTGTCCCAGCTAGGCCATTCCTGCCTCCTGTTTTATAGAGCTCTTCCCCAAACATGAATCCGACTATGATCCCAGTGATAAACCCCTTCGCGTTTCCCCAACCCCGCCCCACCCCCCCACCCCCTCACCCTCACCCCCACCCCCACCCCCGGCAGAAGGCTAAACTCCCGAGTCTACCATTCGCGGCCTTTCTCCCTGGCACTCAGCCCCTGCCTCATCCTAGTCGCGGAACTCACTTTGCCCCCCTCCTAGTAGGCACCGCGCATCTCCAGCCCCCCCCCCCCCCACCCGTGCGCCCTTGCCCCAGCCAGGCCCAGATGGGAGGAGACAAAGGGTTTTGGGGACTAAGCACTTGGACTCTCCAGGTCCGGCTAAAAGGCCCAGGCCGCGGTTTGGAGGGATTTGCTGGGAGGCCAGGTAGCCTTAACCGGGCCGTCGGGGGCTTGACGAGGTCCAGCCCCGCCGCAGGGGGAGGGGCCCCTCCTGAGCCACTGCGCGCCGTGGCCCCTCCCCTCCGGGAGCCGGGCGGGAGTCCCGGGCACTGATTGGGCGGCGCCGCGGGCCGCGCAGCACGACCAATGAACGCGGGCGGGGCGCGGCGGCGGGCGAGGGAGGGAGAGCTGTCTGGAGCCGCGGCGCGGGTGGTCTGAGCACTGCGATCCCAGCCCCGGGAGAGGCGGGTGGGGCGGGGCGCGAACCTCGGGAGCGAGCCTGGTCGCCCGCCCGGCCGGCCGCGGAGACCGTCGCCAGGCGCCGAGGTAGGGGTCGGTGGGGAGGGGACCTGGGGCGGGGAGCGGGAGGGGACGAACGCCTGAACGTCTGCTCGGAGCCTGTAGGGAAGAGGGATGGTCTACGAGGCCGCGTCTAACGAGGGCCTCTGGGACCGCATTGGTGCGGGGATCCTCCCCCCTTTTGGGGGGCCGGATCTACGAGGTACCTCCCGGAGCCCGCTTCTGTCTGCGCCGGCAGCCTGAACCGCATCTATGCGGGCACTCCGTCATCTGCGTCGCTTCCCCAGCTCTAGTCTGCGGGGCTGCGTTCATACCCGGCGCACTGCCCACCCCCGCCCCAGCCGTGGGTGGGAGGCCGTGTCTCTGCAGAGTGGGCCCAGACCTGTGCACCCACGTGTGGATCAGCGCGGAGTGCTCCTCCTACACGACTCTCCGCTGAGTCTTCCTGCAAAACCTGGGGAGAGGCGGGGGGAGGGGTTGTGGATGAATGGGACAGATGTGGCGTGTGGCTTTAGCTGCGCAGGCGTCCCGCTGGATGGGGCCGGGGTGGAGGGGTTGGAAGAAGCGGGCACTGCGGCTTCAGGGGTCTAACAGGCACGGAATTCGTGGCTCGAATGGTGCACACGTGCGCGGGGACCTGTGTGTGGTGTTTGGAGGCGGGTGTGCGTGTCACGTGGACACAGGAGTGTGCCTGTGTGTGTGAGGGGAGTGCATGACTGGATGGAGTGGTGTGTGAGGGCCGATCACATGGACGTCGGCGTGCGACGGCGGTGTGCGCATCTCTGGGGGAATGTGTGTGTCTGGAGGGTGCAGAGGTGTGTAGAAAAGGTTATGTCCCAGGTCCCAGGACTGTGCCTTTGTGGGTGCAAATGGGGCTGTGTATCTGCCAAGTGGGCCAGGACATCAGGAGGATCACTCAGCTTGTGTCCTTGAGGATGCACTGGCCCCCATACAGCCCTCACTCCTTCATGCAGCCGGGACAGATTGAGCACCCACTGTGTGTCAGACCATGTCCTAGGCTCACAGACTTTGGGGACCCTTGCCTCCTCCTTGGTCTCTCACCCTCAGTCCCCACAACAGGCAGGGGGATCATTTTAAACCTCATCCAACTGGGTCATTGCCCTGCTCAGAACCATCCTCTGGCTTTTGAGGCCTCCTGGTCTCTGTCCACAAACCCCTCCAAAGCCAAGCCCTGAGTCCCAGCCTGAAAATGGCTGTCTGTCATGCACAGTGAGAACTTCCATCCTCTCCCCTCTGAAATCCTTACTCAGTGGTCATGAAAGAGCTTACATACCACCTCCTCCAGGAAGCCTTCCCTTGGGCCAGGCACAGCAAATGGCTGGGCCTTCTCATCCAGGTGTAACTCTGCTTGCCTGGGGACCTCTCACGTGCAGAACCCCACTCCAGCAACATTAGCTGCTTGCTGTTCCTCAGACTGTGAGCACTATCCCACCTCACAGCCTTTGCAGTTGCTGGTTCCCCTGCTGCAGTGCCCTTCCCAGATGTGCACACTGCTTGCCTCCTCACTTCCTCCAGATTCTACTCACATTCTACAGAAAGGCCTTTCTGACCACACTATAAATAGTACCCCCCAGCCCCTACTCTTGATTTCCCTTACATGACTGTATTTTTCTCCATAGCACATACCACTTGACATATTCATCTCTTAATTACTGCCTTTCTTGTGTATTGCTTCTTGCCCCTACTAGAAATTAAACTGCCTGGAAGCAGGGACTTTGTCTTTGTGCTTCACTGTTTTATTTCCCAGCACCTAACACGGGAGGTGCTTATGGGATATTTGTTGCATGAATGAGTGACTCTGGGCACATGTGGCAGGTGCTTATGGAATATTTGTTGCATGAAAGCGTGACTCTGGATTTGCATCCCAGGAGTCCATGTCTCTGGTTGCTCCCTACCCTGTGAGCTCCCTGTCTGAGGCTAGGTCTCCTCTTCTTCTGTCCTCCAGATTCCAAGTTCCTGGAAGGCCAGGTGTGGGAAAATCGTGACCACATTTGCATGTTAGAAATACTCCTTCTAGCAACCGGTGTGGAGGAGGGTGTGGGGTGGGGTCAGGGTATGAGCCTGGAGGTGGGGAGACTGTGTGGCAGAAGCAGTGGGAAGGAAAAGCAGAGGTCTAAGTCCTGACTTTGTAAGGGGTTCAACTTAGTGGCCTCACCCAGCAGTGGGGAGATCAAGGAGGGCTCCTAGAGGAGGAGACATCTGAGCTATCCTCCAGCAGCAAAATAGAGGGAGGTGTGTCCCTGGCAGAAGGCACAGCTTATACACAGCTTCTGGCAGCAGAACAGAGGCTGCAGTTTGGAAGGCTGCGAGTGGTGTGATGCAGCCAGAGTAGAGAGTAAGTGTGGGGCTAGGGGAGCAAGGATGAGTGAAAGGGAGAAGATGGGCTCCTGGGTTTCTGGAGAACTGGGAGGATGACAATACCTACCTCTGCAGCAGGCAGAGGACGAAGGGCAGACTTGGGGGAAATGCTAAGTTGAATGGGAACCCTGTGGGTCTGAGCCGCCCAGGAACATGGTGGGGAGGAGGCAGCTGGCTGGAAAGAATTGGGCTGGAGGTACAGACCTGGTGTGGAAGATGAGGAGGGGCAGAGATAGAGGGTGATGCCCAGACACCATCAGCCAAGATGTGCTGAAGATGCACTGAGGGTTGCCATGCCAAATTGGGTACAGAGCCCACCTCAGTGCTTGGGGCCCCTCCAGGGATGATGGGAGGGGGCGTCCTCACAGTAGGCATCCTCAAGCATGACTTGGCACTAGATGCCTGGGCCTCCCTCAAGGAGAACTGAGTCATCCCGGGCGGAGGCAGGAGCTGCAGAGGGTACCCGTTGCCAGGGCTGTCCAGACACTTGTCAGGAGCATAAACACAGCTCCTGTGAGGCAGCCTGGCGATGTCAGGGTGACCTTCTGTGTCTGGCCTGGATGGCTAGATCGCCTCCTTGCAACTTCCCCTTCTGGCCAGTTTTTGGATGGCCAGGCCATGTCCTCTCTGCCTGGATGGTGGGGGCTGCTCAACCTGGCCCTGAGATTCACAGCAGCCTTCCAAAATTCAGAGTGAGGGCTGAGTGGTGCCTGAAATCATGCCAGGAGGGGCTGCTTGAACATTTGGACAAGAGCAGGGTCTGCCTGCCCTCTCCTGCTCTGGGCCTCCTCCGAGCGACCCAGGTGGGTGGGGCACATCCTGAGGAAGAGGCCAGGCCAAGCAGGCATCTTGGAACCAGGGTCTGCACGCTGGAAGTAGCCAGACATCTGGGGGTGGGGGGCATAGCCCGAGGGCATTAATGTGCCAGGCCATCCTGGAGCCAGGGGGGCAGATATGGGGTTCTACACTGTACATCAAGGCTATCTTAGTGGCTTCTGGATATAGACACATCCTAGCCCCATGTCACTCGGGGCACAGATTGCTTCTCTGTCCACGATCTCATCTACTTCCTTCTATAGCCCTGGGAGTTGGCAGGATGGCAGCCTCCTGCTTGATTCACATTTGAGAAAACAGAGGCCCCAAGAGTCTCAGTCTCAGTGACTTTTCCAAGGCAACACGACCCAAGTCTGGGAGGACAGGATTAGGGTAGCTTTTCCCAGTGAGAGAGGGCCTGAGTCTGGTCATTCTTGGCTACAGGACCAGGCTGGTCCCTGGGAGGCTCTCCATGCCCACAGAGTCCATGCTGGGCCGTGAGCCTGGGTCCTAGCCTGTCTGTCAGTCCTTCTGTTTGCCCATGTAGCCCCTAGTTGCCTACCCAGTCAGTTTCAACAAAGTGTCTCCCGAGGCCTCAGCTTGGGGAGGACCCTGAGAGCCCCCCTGGGTGGCCCCTCAGAGAGGGGTGGCACCTGCCCAGGACACAGAGCCCAGCCTGGTGGACAGGTGACCATGTGGGAAGTTCAGACTTGACCTTCTGAGATCAGGTGTCCATGCAGACCCCACCCTGCATTCTGGAGCTCATGTACAGGAAGACTAAAGGCACCCAGTGCACATGAACACATTTACACACCTGTGTAGGCCACACTGCTAGAGTTCTGTCCCCATGCAGATGCGCTTCTCTGTGTGGACTCTTCCGCCCCTGCCCCCCGCAGACACACACCGTGACCCCAGCCCACATCCCTGCTTGCACACGTTCTCTCACGTGTGGACACATGCCCTCAGATGCACAGCCTCAGGTGCTAGGCCCCGTCGCCTGGACATGAGGCTGGAACTTGGGGCCTCCCCACTGCCTCCTGCACAGACATGCTTAGTCACCTGAATTTGATCCAGGCAGGAGGGAGGGTGGAGGGCCTGACGTCAGCCTTCATAGCCGCCTTATGCTGCCTGCACATCCATCTGGGCCACAGTGTGTCCTAGGCAATTGCAACAACAGCTGCACAACAACTCACTTTTACGGAGCTTCCCCAGTGGCAGACTCAGTCCTGAGCCCGGTATGGGTAGTGTTCACACCTTTTCACCCCATCACTACCCAGTGAGGTGAGACTGCTATTAGCCCCATTCCATAGATGAGGAAAACTGGGGTGCAGAGGTGAAGTCACCTGCCCATGGGCCCACACCAGGAAGAGATGGAGCCTGCAGCCTAGCTTCAGAGAACAGGACCCCAGGTTGGAGGAGAAGGATTTCTGCCTTGACTTACTGTGTGAGCCTGGGCCCATCCTTGGCCCTTGCTGGGCCTCACTTTCCCATCTGAGAAAAGGGAAGGAAGGGAATTAGAGGAGGATGGCTTCTTGCTGGGATAACAGCTTCAGGGAAATCATATGCAAATTGTATGGGCCAGGGCCACCTGTGGCCTCTGCCCATCTGGAGGCTGCAGAGCAGAGAGCTGGAGCTCCTGACACTGATTCACTCCCTACCATGGACTGGGGCCCTAGGCTTCCTGGGGTCCCGTTTCTGAGGCTGCTTTCTCAGGTCTATTGGGGACAGCACTATAATGATCACTATGGCAACCACTCATTCATTCAACATATATTTATTGAGCTCCCACCATGTGCCAGGTACTGCTGCAGATACCAATGATCTTATGGAGACAAGGCAGACAAGAGCCCTAATCTATGGATTTTATATGCTAATAGAAGGAAAGGGGGGGGCTCTATGGGGTGATGGTGAGGAGCAGCAGAGTGGTCCATCTCCAGGCAGCAGTGGAATGGGCCAGCCAGGCTTGGAAGGCTCCCTTCAGCCTTGGCTTCCTCCTTCCTGCAAGTGGCCTGGTTCCTAAAGCCTCCCTGATATATCAACTGCATTCACTGCCCCCTCCCCCGCCCCCCGCATCTCTTTTAGGGAGGACTCCTTGATGCCTCAGCCCTACTCACCTTCCTCACCTCCTTTGGAGAGGCCTTTCTGATGTTCTAGCCCTACCTGCCTCCCTCACCTCCTCCAGGGAGGTCTCCCTGATGTTCCAGTCCTGCTCATTCTCTCCCTTGATGCTCTAGGCTCACCAACTGCCCCCTGATTCCTCTAGGTCCAGCCTTCATGTCTTTTCCTATTGCCAGCCTGGATTCCCTTCCTCCTTCCTTTCTGTGTGTCAACATCAGCTCTACTACCTCTAGGTTTCTACTCAGTTCAACACACTGTGTGCCGAGCACAGGGGTTCTGGATGACACCCTTGCCCACTATCCATCTCTAAGCCTTGTTGTGGCCCTAGGGAATCTGAGAAGGTCCTGCATCAGAGTACAGAGGGAGAGACTGAGGCTCAGAGTCAGGAAGGAGCCTGCCTCAGACCCCACAGTAGGTTGGCAGGCAGGATTGGAATCCAGTCCAGGATCCTCTGTGGCCAGTGGACTCTGGTGAGCCCTACCTCCTTGACATCTGTCAAAGCAAGGTGATGGGGGAACAAGGGCTATGTTCTTAAAGTCACTGTGTGAGTACAGAGGAAGTTAGCACCAGACAGGAAGGGCAGAGGGTCAGGAGTCCACTCACTTCCTTTTCCTTAGAAGATGCTGAGTCTGGCCTAGGAAGGAGGAGGGGCATTGGGCTGGGGTGGGGCCGGGGCTCAGCCTCCAGCAGAGATGGAGTCCCAGTCCGAGTGTCAGGATTCAGCCTGGGGTCAGGGTTCAGCCCAGGGCTGTGGTTGAAGGGGAGGGCTGGACCTGGGGTCGGACATTGGTTTGCGGTTCAAGCTGGGCCCAGTCCTTAGCCTGGGGCCTGGTTCGGGACTCAGAATGCAGTAGGGTCAGGGTGGGTGTAAGGCCAGGCCATGGAGAGCATTTCGGCGTGAGCAGCTGTGACAAATATTTTGGGCACCCAAATAAACTGGAAGGAAAAAACCAGGAAAAATAAGGAATGACCTGTTAGTTTAGTGGAGTTTCTCTTAACAGCCACCAAAGCAGCAGCTCCTCCCTAATGGACCCTGTCATAGGCTACAGACTCCACTGGGGCAGGAAAGGGAGGCATGGGGGATGGCAGACTTGCTCGGTGGTCCTGGAGAGGCCTTCCTGGAGGAGATAAGTGACTGGCTTGGAGTACCAGGGAGGCCTCTGCCTGACCAGCGCCCAGCTCAGCTTCCAGCAGCAACACTGGAATGCTCTGCAGTCAAGGGTGGGGCTGGTGAGTCACTGGGCTGTCTGCTGGATGGGGCCTGAGCTGACCCTGGACTCTGTTTCTCCCAGTGCTGCTGGTCCTCCAGTATTCTCTCTGTCCAGACTCCAGAATATCAGCTTCTCCCTGCTTCCCTGTGAAGCCAGCAAGGCAGACATGACCATCCCTGTTTTACAGATGGGGATACTGAGGTCTGGAGGGCCGCGATGCAGCAGAGCCAGATGAGCTCCCGGCATTCCTTTAGTTAGTAGGGACACACCTGACTTTGGATGCTGGCAACTCAGGCAGAGGGATCAGGTAGGGCAGAGTCATGGAGGTGGGACCTGAGGGTTGTGGCTACAATGGGAGAAGGGCCTGGAAATCTGACCTCCATACCCCATGGCCAGCATTGAAGCTTTCTCTGTCCTCTCTTCTCAGGTTCCCAATAAGGCTGCACAGAGGACCCCTTAACTGTGGCAATGGAGGGGGGCCCAGCAGTCTGCTGCCAGGACCCCCGGGCAGAGCTGGTGGAACGAGTGGCAGCCATTGATGTGGCCCACTTGGAGGAGGCAGGAGGTGGCCCAGAGCCTGCCAGAAATGGTGTGGACCCTCTGCCAAGGACCAGAGCTGCCTCCGTGATCCCCGGTGGTGCTTCAAGACCCCCCCTAGGCCGGCCTAGCCTCTCAGCTAGGAAGTTCTCCCTGCAAGAGCGGCCGGCAGGAAGCTGCCTGGAGGCCCAGGCTGGACCTTATGCCACAGGGCCTGCCAGCCACATTTCCCCACGGGCCTGGCGGAGGCCCACCATTGAGTCCCACCACGTGGCCATCTCAGACGCAGAGGTTGGTGGGGCAGAGCTAGGGGGTCCCCATGAGCTTCTCAGTAGTCCTCAATGAAGATGGTTGTCTGTCCCGGCCCCTGCCACACAGCTGCCTGGCCTTTGCTTTTGCACACCCCCCAGAGTTGAAGAGCCTGCTGTCTCACAATATGGCTCTTCCCACCAGGGGAGCTCCAACTGAGCCAGTCACTGCCTCCTCCAAGTCCCACCATTCCTACCCTTAGGTCAGGCCTCAGAAATAGGCCCCTCCCCTGTCCCCCAAGAAGTCCTCTTAGAGATTTGAAGATAGGTAGTATGTCTGCCCTCCCTACCACAAGTCTAACCCAGCTTTAGCCCCCACTTCTAATCCTGCTTCTTAGAGTCTCCTCTGACTCAGAAGCTGCCAGTGTGTTTCCAGCCTCTGTTCTTGCTTCTGTTCCTCTGTCCCACTGGCTCTGTCCTTGCCACTTAGATCTGAAAGTGAGTCCTAGTACCGAGTGAGCAATCTACCGATTGCAGAGCCTGGGCTTGTTATGCCTGAGCGGGGCCTCTGGTCTCTTGTCCCTAAGGCTCTCCTCAGTTTTTCTTGTCCACGCAGCCAAGACCTTGCATTTAGCTGCTTCTAGAAATACTTGCTCATGTGTTTCTCACAGATGAAGGTCTCCCAGACGCCAGCGTTCAGGCAGGAATCGGTGCATTTTTCCTTCACCGCTTCCTAGGCAGTAAAATACAGCCATGGCTCACCATTCATGTTCGCAAACGCCATCCAAGGCCTCGCGTCACTTTTGATGGCATGGACACCGCCACGTTTCCCCCCCCCCCCGCCACCATCCAAACTTGATAGGTTGATGAGATGTGAGGTCTGAGAGTGAGGGGCCCAGAGCCAGGATCGGGCCCTGAACAGGCTCCTGAGGTGGGATCCACACTGCCTCTGGGTCAAGCTTTACCTGATGTTCCCCTCTTCCTCCCCTCCCCGCCCCCAGGACTGTGTACAGCTGAACCAATACAAGCTGCAGAGTGAGATTGGCAAGGTAGGACCGGGACAGGCAGTGGGGACTTTTCTCTGGAGGCTTTGTGGAGGCAGCCTGTCGGGATCCTCTGCTTGACAGTTCCTTCTCCCCTGGGAATGTGAGGCAGAGCCAGAAAGGCCCCAGCTTAGAAGTGAAGAGAGTTTTGTCCTCTAGAAGATATCCAGGGAGGGGTGGGAAATGATTCCCCATCCCTTATTCCTTAGTTTTTGATGGAAGACAAAGAGGGACTGAGGGAGCTTAGAGCTGTGTTGAGCCTGGCAGAGGCAGATCCCGGGGCGCAGGAGCCCTCTCCCTGTCTGCCAGAAACATATGCCTGCTGGGGGCCAGCTGGTGGTGGGGGTGGAGGGAGGCTGTGGAGGGAGGGGGCCGGAGCTGTTCAGGCTGCCCATTCCCTGAGCTAGTCCGGGGCGGGGCTGCCCTGTCCAGGCAGGGCTGACCAGTGCCTATTTCCAGGGTGCCTACGGTGTGGTGAGGCTGGCCTACAACGAAAGTGAGGACAGGCACTATGTGAGTCTGGGGATGGGAGGGAGGTGTTGCCCCGGGCCAGGCCCCAGAAGCCTGGGAAGTGGGACACGGCTGTGCTGGGAAGACTGAGGACAAGGTTGCCTCTAGGGGGCGTGAGCTCCTGTCCCTAAGGGTATGCTTAGTAAAAGGAGTAAGCTTCTTGACCCTGAGAATGTGCCAGCAGAGGCTGGGCCCCTCTGAGGGGAGAGCTCCAGAAAGGCTTACTGGGGAAATAGGGGTAAGGCCTAGACTCAGATATGGCCACTTCCTAACCCGGCTTACCCACACACTTAGGCCATAGCTTCAGCTCTGGTGGCAGTCACCAAGTGTTCCTTTCCGGACCTCTATCCACATATAACCAGCCTCTTCTAGCTCCTGGTGGCTACCCACACGTGACATTTCTGCCCCTCCCTCCTCAGGCAATGAAAGTTCTTTCCAAAAAGAAGTTACTGAAGCAGTATGGCTTTCCACGTATGTATCTGCTGGGTCCTGTGCTTGGGAGCTCCTTGCCTGGGGCCAGAGAAGGAGGGGACCTCGGTCCCTAGCTAGTTTTTTTAGGGCTGGGGTAGAGGTGGGGACAGTATGAGCAAAGGCCTGGTGGTGGGAATGTGCTTGGTGGGTCGGTCTTATAAGATTCTTGCTTGAGGCTGGTTGCAGGGCCATGGTGAGGCCCAGCCTCCTGCAATAGGGACTTGACTCACCTTCCTGGTCACAGGTCGCCCTCCTCCAAGAGGGTCCCAAGCCACCCAAGGAGGACCAGCCAAGCAGCTGCTGCCCCTGGAGCGAGTGTACCAGGAGATTGCCATACTGAAGAAGCTGGACCATGTGAATGTGGTCAAGCTGATTGAGGTAGGAAGCAGTGGTGAGTGGCTGGGAACTCGTGCCCAAGGCCTGTGCTTAGGAATACTCAGCGCAGACCTAGGGCTCTCACTGCAGGAGTAGTGTGGCTAAGGCCTCCAAAGACAGAGCTAGACTTGGGGTGGGGGCTATAGGGAGGCTTTAGGGGTCAGTTTAGGCTGGTCTGGGATGTTCTCAAGGTCTCGGTGAGGGTAAGGGGCTTAGGGTTGAGGGTCCGTGATTTTTGAGGCCTCGTCTATCTGGTGCCTGCACAGTTCCTGCTCCATTGTCTGGGGTCACTGCAGAGCATACTGGGGGTACTGGTGAGTACAAGGAAGTCTGGGGCTCCCACCCCGTGCCTCCCCCACCCCTACTCCCATGTCTGTTCCCTCTGACTAGGTTTTGGATGACCCAGCTGAGGACAATCTCTATTTGGGTAAGTGACCCAGCTCATTCCCAAAGCAGCTTACCTGGGGTCAGTCCGAGGGCTCCCCAGGGACACACATGAACTTCAGATGGGCTGTGTGAATATGTTCTCAAGCCCTGGATTCCCTTGCCTATCCCTGCCAACCCAGGCTTAGAATATCAAGTTAGATTCAACAAATATGCCTAAGCCCCCACTCCACTAATCAGAGAGACAGTGGATCAGGTAGATGCAGGAAGCAGGCTATGGGATACGGGTTCTCAGACCCTGTCTGATAGTTCTGTGCCTCAGTTTCCTCACCTGTAAAATGGGGACAATGTATCCACCTCATAGGGCTGATATGAGGAGTAAATGAGTCATTATATACAAGATTGTTGTTAATGTTAATTTCATGGCTGGGTTTAGAGGCCCTGAAAAGGGGCAGAAAGAACACTGGCTTAGGAATTAAGGCCAAGGCTTTAGTCTTCACTCCCTGTCCTACCTGCCTATCTGCTGTGACCTTTAGGAAAATTCCTGCCCCTTCTCCAAGCCTCAGTTACCTACTCTGTTCCCAGAAAAGGAATCCATGCTGAATCAGATGAGGCAGATCCATAGTGAAACTACTCTCACCCACTTAACTTCCTCTGATACCCTGGGACCCTTGTCCCATCCCTCCCTCAGGTATGCTTGGATGCCTGCCCCTCTCCTATCTTCCAGAACACGGGAGGGACCTTGGCATCACCTGCTTTGCTAGCCTGGCTGCACCTTACTTACTTTTTCTTTTCTTTTCTTTCAGTGTTTGACCTCCTGAGAAAGGGGTGAGTTCCCCTTCCCAATCAGGCAGGCCAAGTCTAATCCAGGCCTTCTTTTCCCTCCCTGTGTCCCTAATCCCAGGGTCAACTACTGTAGGAGAAAGCAGAGGCCAAGGCCCTGCCCTTGGGGAGCTCTAGTCTGGGGTGAAACAAGAGACCAGGAGGACAATTCTTTGAGGTCCGATGGGGGTCAGTGAGGCTGGAACATTCAGTGAGTCCTCTGACAGAGGGAGTGGGTTTTGAGCCAGGCCTTGAAGAACTGGAAAGATTATGAGGGAGGAGAGGGAGAAGAAAGGAGTGTTTCTCAAGCAAATATGTAGAGATGGGGCTGTCACCTGGATTCAAATCACAAAGAGTTCTTTCAGCTTTACAAGTTTATGAGTTGGGTGGGTGGGACTCCATTTGCTGCCATTTACAAGAGGGGAAGCTGAGGTTCAGAGTGGGTAAGTGGCTTGCCCAAGGTCACACAGTTCTAATTCATGTCTGCCCTACTTGGCCTTACCAGGGTATTTGCAAACCAGCAGACATGGGGTAATGGGCACAGGCCTGGGTGGACCAGAGGCCCTATCTGTCCAGACCTTGAATATAGGCTACGTATGGCTTGTGATTTGTCTCTCTGCGGGGAGTGGGGGTGCTAAGAGTAGCATCCTTCTCAGATTCAGAAGCTTTCAAATATTTTTGACCTTCATATGTTTTACATTGCCATCCATATCTGTAACTGAAACCAAAGTTTTACAAAACATTGCGTCTTTATTACATGTGATATACTCTGATAAATTCTACTTCATTAGAGAAACAAAGCATTAGCTAACCACTAAGAGGATTTCATGACCCTCTATTAGGTCTAGACCTACAGTTTGAAGAACACTGCTCTGAATGGCATCTTTGTAACAGTTCGGTTATGGAAAATTAAGTACTTAGAAGAAGGAATACCGAGCCAATCAGAAATTAAGATAAAGCTAATTTGAAATTGTAATGATTGTAAAGGGATATTTGGGTCTGTGTGTGTTTTAAGTGTTTCATTATATGGGAGAACTAGCTAATGTCTTGGGTTCTGGGGAGCAGTTTGAGCATAGAGGGCTCCCGGGAAGTCCCGAGGGGCCTAAATGGCCCAGCCCCTGTCCCGCTTCACCAGCTAGTCAGCTTTTACTCATTCTGATTCAGCTGAACACTGCTCCTCCCCGCCCTTCCCGTAGGCCGCTCATGGAGGTACCCAGCGACAAGCCCTTCCCGGAGGAGCAAGCTCGTCTCTACTTGCGGGACATCATCCTAGGCCTTGAGTACTGTGAGTGAGGGGCTGCGTGCCCCCAGAACAGGGGTACGGGGGAGGGAGACACCGGAAAGGGCGGGGCCCAGGCTGAGCTAGCTCTTGGCAGTTCTTGTCTGTTAGCGCGGATCTACCAATCAGCTTCACTTGGGGGCGTGGCGTGGGCTGGGGGCGGGGCCTGGCATCTCCGGTGGGAAGGGGAAGGGAGTGGTGGCCGACTTCCCTGGATGCCTGGATGCCTGGATGCGTGCGGGTTGCCTCGCGTGGCTAGTCACCATCAAGTTGGGCTGTGCCTGGGGTACTCTCTGCATCTCTGAGTAGTTCTTAGCCAAGGCTAACCTGTGCCCAGCGCCTCAACAGATGTAGGTAGGGAGAGATTTACATCCCGCTGTCTGTGCTGTCACGGGTCCTGTGGGTGCGGAAGGGTGTGTTTCCTGTGAGGGCCCTCAGGTGATGAGAGCTCAGGAGGGAGGATGTTAGCTTGGCCTCTCTCTCTGGAATGCACTTATTCATTCATTCATTTACTTCACTTACTGCATTCTTATATGAGTACCTGCTAAGGGACGGCTAGAGGCAAGGAGATGACAAAGACCCGGATGGGAACTCCGCGATCTCACAGCCTCGTGGAAGGAACGAGAAACGAAGCAGGCAGCTATAGTGCAGTGACTGCTAAGGCTGGAGAGGCCCACGGCTGTCAGAGCACTGAGGGGAGGCTTCCTGGAGGAGGCCACTTGTGACCAGGGTCCTGAAGGATAAGTAGGAGTTCACTGGCCAGGCTTGAGGGCTGATGGATGGGAGAGAGTATGCGGAGCAGAGAGAACTGCCTAGCAGAGGCACAGAGGGCAGTGGGCATGTCCTATTTGAGAATGGGGAGAAGTAAAATCTGGCTGAAGCCTGGCCCTGCGGGTGGTGAAACAGGATGCTGGGAAGCTATTCAAGCCACACCAGGAGGGCTTTCCTGACTATCCCGTCAGCATTGTCAGCCCCTGAGGGCTTTGAGAAGGGAGGGGCATGACAGGATTTGCATCTTAGAAAGCTCTTTCTGGCAGCTGTGTGGCGGCTAAGTAAAGGGCAAGAGGTGGCCAGCTGGTTAGGAAGGAGGCTTTTTCTACAGCCCAAGTGACAGATGGTGAGGCCTGGATCAGTGGGGAAGAGACATGAAGGAGGTGAGCGGGAACAGCGCTGGATGACTGATTGGCCATGGGGAGGGGAGGGCCCTCAGACACCTAGGTTTCTGGCCTGGTTTGGGGAACCAGAGTGGTGCCCATCTCTCTAGAATCTTAGCTTGGTTTATCAGGAGCATATTCTCTCCCTGGGTGAACAGGGTGAGGACCTAGCAGAGATGACAGGAACCAGGATTATCTTTCTCTCATTTGAGTCACTCCAGTGCCCTCTAATTAATACTCTCTTTGTACATATGGGGAAACTGAGACACACAGACAGGAGGGCTTTGCAGATAGTCCCTCTCAAGGGTCTAGACTTATGGGAAGGGGGCATTTCACCCTGCGTGTGAAAAGTGGCAGCCACAACCCTATACCAGGTTGGCTTCCACCCCTTCCTGTCCTGGGCCCTTCCCTTCAGCTGAGGGCCTGCTGTCCTCCATCCTCTGTTCTCCACCCACCACCCAAAAACAAGCTAATCCCATCTGGCTTTTGGGTAAAGCCTTATCAAGACCCGGCTAATCATAGTGAAGGGCTTCCCAGAGCCCATTGGTCAGAACCAGGGGCTGGACAGGCAGATGAATGGAGGCACCAGGCACTGAAGGTGTGATTCTGGTCCTCGTGATTGTGGTCCTCTAGGGGAGGGTCAAGGCTTCTTGGGGAAGGCTCTGTGGTCAGGGAGCCCAGGCCTGATTCTTAGAGATGGGGCAAGTGGAAGTGCAGGTATGAGAGCAGTCAGATCTGGAATGTAGCTTAGAAGTTGAGCCGATAGGACTTGTTGATGAATAGGATATGGAGTCTGAAAGAGGAGCTGGGGATGATCCTGGGGTTTTTGGCCTGAGCAACTGATAATGTGCCATTAACCGAATGGGAAAGACTAAAGGAGGAACAGGGGTCTTCTGTTTTGTTTGTTTGCGGGGCGTGGGGGGGAGGTACGTTGCTGACGGAGAAATCAAGGTCTGAATTAGACGTGTTATTGAGAAATATTGAGATCTACATTGAGATGTCTACTGGATATCCACATGGATAAAGAGCCCAAGTTCAGGGGAGAGGCTAGAGTTTGAGATAAGAATTTGAGACCACTTTCCATGGTCAAATACACAGCCCCTTGAGCCTCTGCCCTCGAGTGGGTGTGTGTCAAATCTCTCGTTGCAGCAGGCTCACAGGACACAGTCCCCGTAGGACCGCTGGTTTGGTTGTTACTGTTGTGTGACACTCAGTCCCTTTGCCCCGAGCCTTCCTGCCCTCCACCTCTCCTCTCCTCTTTCCTCCTCTGCAGCATCTTGGGATCTGCTGGTCCAGGGGAAGGTATTTGCTGAGTGGGGAGCCCATGCATGGGTGGTGGGGGTAGAGTCAGTGTCTTCTCTCAGCTGGGATGTCTCTGGCCATCTCAGCCTTGAGAGGCCCATTTTCCTGGCAGTCCCAGAGCCAGGGAGCAAGGTGAGCGCTAAGCGTCCTGGAGAAGGTTGCTTCTTACCCCTGCCATGTCCATCCCAGCAGTCCCAAGGCCTGGAGTGCCCTCTCTCTCTGAAACCCCTTCAGCCCAAAGTCGCTACGCCTGAGGCGGTATTTCTGCAGGATACCTCACTATTCCACCCTAAGTCCAAGAAGGAAGAACATCCCTGACCAGGTGGGGTGGGGGAAGAGACTGGGGAAATGTTCTGACAGGCTTTGGGACTGCGGATAACATGAGGGAGGGCCAGACATGGCCAATGGAGAGCCTCCCTTCCCGATTTCCTCCGATAGTCCCCCGCAGCAACAGGTGTCTTGATTGCCACAGAGAGTACTCCATTTGGAGTCCAAAGACCCCTCAGAGTCCAGTCCTAGCTTTGCTTCAGACAGCCTGGGCTGGCCTTGGTCTCTCCACCACATCGTGGAGTAGAGGGGGCCCTAAAGTCCCTTTTGAGGTCCTCCTGAGACAAGTGTGTGCATGGGCTCCTTCTCACCTAGAGTTTGAGATGGGCCTCCCTGGCCAGGTGAGGGCAGGGGGTGGGGGTGGGGGCTCCAGGCATTGGTTGCCCACGCCAGCACTCAAGCTGCCTCTCTCCGCAGTGCACTACCAGAAGATCATCCACCGGGACATCAAGCCATCCAACCTGCTCCTGGGAGATGACGAGCATGTGAAAATTGCTGACTTTGGCGTTAGCAACCAGTTTGAGGGCAACGACGCTCAGCTGTCCAGCACAGCCGGGACTCCAGCATTCATGGCCCCTGAAGCCATTTCTGATTCTGGCCAGAGCTTCAGTGGGAAGGTGGCTTCTAGGACCTGGGCTGAGTTGGGGTTCAGGCGGAGGGGTGGGATAGCCTGCAGTGGGGCCTCGTTTCCAACCTGAGGGTGTCAGGGTCCTTAGGTCTCAGGAGTGAACACTGCACATGGGCCTCTCCTTCCTGTTTGCTTCTTCCTGGGGTCTTGAAGAACTCCCCAGCTTTGGCGTCCTCTCATTCCCCAGCAAAATGGCCCCAGGCCTCCCCTGCAGATACTTTCTGCCCGCTGCTGTGTGCTGAGTGTGGGCCGGGCTGTGAAACAGACAGAGCCCAGGCAGCCCAGCTCGCTGTCCTTCTGGAGATGGTGGAAAAGAGCAGGAGAGCTCATCTTTGGGAAGAAGTTGGAGGCTCCCCTCAGACTCTTTGGAGATGGCAGGGTTTGAACTAGGCCTTGAAGAATGGGGAGGATTTGAGCATGAGGTGGAGTCCAGAAAATGTACGAGAGCACTGAGGGGCACAGGGAAGGGGGCATGACGGGCCTTGGGCAGAGTTTAGAAGGCGGCTTGGGGACTTGGGCTTCCCCCTAACTGACAAGAGGCAATGGGCATAGCTTTCTGAGCAGGGGCTGCAGTGTCGGGTGTCCCCGGGCACATGCCTGTTCTCACCTGCCAAGGAGGCAATGGTTAAGAGGCATCTGGACACGTGTGTGGGTGTGGAGCTCAAAAGAGAGGTCAGGGATGTAGATAGAGATTTTTTTAAGGGCTTCTAATTTTGATGTAATTCCAAATTTACAAAAAATTACAAGAATAATACAAAAAAAACCTCCCATGTATCTTTTTACTCAGATTCACCAATTATTGACATTTTGTCCCATTTACCTTTTCACCATCTCTCCCTATATTTAAGTGATTACATTTTTCTGAACCATTTGAGAGTTAAGTTGGAGACATTATCCTCCTTTATCATTAAATATTTTAGCAGATATTTTCTAAGAACAAGGACATTCTCTTACATAACCTCAGTACGATTATCAAAATTAGGAAATTTATCATTGATACAAGACTATTATCTAAACGACCTTATTCACATTTCCTTCTTTTTTTTTTTTTAAAGATTTTATTTATTTATTTGAGAGAGAGACAGAGAGCACATGAGAGGGGGGAGGGTCAGAGGGAGAAGCAGACTCCCTGCTCGATCCCGGGACTCTGGGATCGTGACCTGAGCTGAAGGCAGTCGCTTAACCAACTGAGCCACCCAGGTGCCCCCCTCATTCACATTTCATCAGTTGTGTGGATCCTGTCCTTTAATGCCCCCCCCCCTTTTTTTTGGTCCAAGATCTGACCCAGGGTTAGTCATAGCATTCAGTTGTCACATCTCTTTGTCCTTTAATCTGGAAGATTTCCTCAGCCTTTCTTTGTCTATTCTATTGTCTATTCTAACCTGGACATTTTTGAAGAGAACAGTCCTGTTACTTTATGGAATGACGTCAGTTTGCGTTTGTCTGGTGTTCCCTGGTTCCCTGGTTGGATTTAGATGACGCATCTGTGCCAGGAATATGTAGGTAGACATTTGAGACTCATTCACATATGAGAGAAAGTGGAAACCAGGAGAGGAGATGGCGTTCCAGAAGGGGAAAATGTAGAGAGAGCACATGTTAGAACCCAGGATATGGGGGAGCTGTGAGGAGCTGTGGAGGTGACCGAAGGCCAGGGCCTTGGTATGGGCAGGGGCTGTTTCTGGTGTCGGAAAGAAGGTAGATGGTGACTTCTCCAGGGGATCATCAGGAAAACGGATGACAAGCTGGTTTAGTGAGTCTAAGTTTAGTACGTACGATGGTTTCTGGGGTGCACCATGGGTATAGCAAATGTGACCCTGTAGGTAAAGGTAGTTTTGCACCTGTTGAGTTAGAAATGTATCCAGTTTGGGTCTGTTACGAGGGGACTTGGAAACCCTAAGAGGTAGGGGCCCTGTTCTGGTCATCCCTGTGTCCCTAGTGCTCAGCACAGGGTCAGGCATAGAACAAGTGAGTGGGAGTTATTTGTTGAGTGACTACATGACTGAGGAAGGAGTTCCCCAATATGCCCTCTCCCACAGCCCATGGGAGCTAGGTGAGGGAGGGCTGTTGGTTCGTTTTGGGGGACTGATACGAGCTGTTTCTTCCTAGGCCTTGGATGTGTGGGCCACCGGGGTCACGTTATACTGCTTTGTCTATGGCAAGGTGAGTGTTGGGTGGGCTGGCGGAGCTGGGCGGGCCCAGACCCTTGGCACCATGGGCTGGGCCAAGCTGAAGCAGGATGAATGACAGCTGCAGGCCCTTCCTTTGTGTCCTAAAAAAGTGACTTTTGAAAGGGCCCACCTGGCTCAGAGAAGACTGAGGGAAAAACGTTTTTCTGTTTTCTCCTGACCCTTGGGAGGAGATTCACGTGAAGGAGCTCCGGGACAGAAGACATCCCAATGGGAGGGGTAGATGGTGGTGTTGCCACCTCGCCGCCAGGGCACTCCCTGTCCTTCTGGCCCTTGATGCCATTCATTCTTTCATTCATTCACACATTCACTCATTCACTCATTCATTCTACGAATTGTCCTTGCCTTTTGCTCTGGGTCAGGCCGGGCCTTGAGAACCCTCGACACTGACTTGGTGGAAATCGCTGTCCACAGGTGCTCCCGCTCTAGTGACTGTACTGAGAGGCAGAAGGGAACCTCAGTGAGTGTGTTCGCAAACTCCAAGCCCTGGGAGTGGAGACCGTTCTGCAGGTGGTCATAAGGCCAGTGGGCACATCCAGCCTCATAGTTCCCTCAATGACTCATTTGTTCGGTCAGTGTTTGTTGAGCACCTACTGTGGGCCGGGCCCTGAACAAGTTAGACGAGGTTTCTCCCATCTTAAGGAGCCCAGAGCTGCCCCCCCACTCTGGCCATACCAAGAAGATGGGGTCAGTCCCCCAGGGCAAGTTGAGGCCCTGGGCCTGCATCCTTTGTCTGCTTCTCCACCCAACAGTGCCCATTCATCGATGATTACATCCTGGCCCTGCATAGGAAGATCAAGAATGAGGCCGTGGTGTTTCCTGAGGAGTGAGTTGCCCTTCAAGGGGGCTCCTGCCCACCCCCAGGGAGCCGTGTCTGAGGGGTAGCAGAGCATTTGCCCTTTGAAGGCCCCACCCCAGCCTGCAGCTCTGGAGGTGGGGGTACTGTTTCCTGGGAGGGGCCCCTGAGCGGACGGGGCGGGGCGGGGAGGGGGGGATGGGACTGTAGAGCAAGGTCTCAGAGACATCTGATTGGATTTCATTGTACAAATGGAACTCTGAGGCCCGGAGTTGGGCCGGAATGACCCCAGGTCACACATGCACACTGCTCCTTCTCTAAAGGCTTCTGTGGGGTTAATGGCATCAACCTTACACACACCCTGGAATCATCGGGAGCCTCTACTTTCCTCACATGGGGTAGGATGGCTTCAAGATAGCAGTGTGCTTCCCCATATTGTAGATGGAAAATGGAGGCTCCAGAGGAGAGTTATCAGTGGGTCTGGGATTTGAAGCCATTCCCTACCCCCTTGTGACGGAGGTCTCTGAGCCCAGAGGGACTATATAGAGAGGTCTCCCTGCTCATCTGCGGTTCTTCTGATTATGATATTGGCTACCACGACTCCTTACTTTTCAGGGCCCTTCTGCCATCAGAGTCCCCTGGGCAGGTCAGAAACCAACCTGGGTTGGTTTGTCCTCAATGACTCCTGCTTTCTTGTGCCCACTCCCAGTCTGGCCCCCAGGCCCTGTTGAGTCTACTTCATCATTCTCTTGACTCCATTGCCACCTGCACCCCTAACTGGTTCTGTCCCCAGCCTTGTCTAGCCACTTTGTCTTTGGTCTCCCTGCTGCCAGCCTCCTTCCAGTCCAGCCCCCACAATCAGGCCAGGGTGACCCTGATAAAGCACAACATATCTCACCACATCTCGCTTAAAGTTTTTCCAAGGCTTCGCAAAGCCCACATGAAGAGGCCCTTTCCTGGCCCTGGCATTCAAGGACCTCTGCCACCTCTTCCCACATAGCACTAGCCAACTGCATTCCATCCCTTCCCTATAATTGCCTGTCTCTGTACCTTTCCTCCTGCTGGACCGCATGCCAGAGGTCTCTTCCTTCCCAGCCGAGGAGTTGTGAAAGGGATTAAGTGTCTAGGACAGCAGAGGGATCCAAGGTCAACAGTCCCAAGAGTGAGTTCCTTCTCTGCAGGCTTGGACAGATGGGCTTCCCAAAAATGTTGGTAGCAAAGAAGCCTGGAGTTTGGGCAGAAATAGTCCAGGCTGACATGGGGCTGAGAGTCCTGCCCCTCTCCCTTCCCCTGAGTCTCTCATCCCTGCCCTCACTCTTCTGGGTAGCAATGTGTCAACCCACTAACCTCTCTGGGTCTCAGTTTCTTCCTCTGTCAAATGAGAATCTTTCTTGGCTACCTCCAGACAGAGGACAGGATAAGATGGAGAGTGGGGCAAAGGCCCCTGGTGTCCCGTAAAGTGACGCTTCTCACATTATCCTCACCATCTCTGCTACCCAGGGGGTGTCCAGTACCCCTGGGACTGCATTTGTGTTTGTGGCCCCTGCCTCCTACAGGAGATGGCTTTACTTCCTGTTCAGGAAAGAAGGACATCCATCTACTTGTTCTGAAACTCTCCCCTTCTGCCTTGATATCTTGGGGTATCCGTCTTGCTCTTGAAGAAATGAGGGTTGGGTGTGTCTCTGCCCTGACGTGTACTATGCAGGGAATCCCAGAGCAGGTGGGGATGGAGAGGTGGGCAGGAAAGAATCCTCAGTAACTATCTCTCCCTCATCTCCTTCCTTCCCCCCCTCCCCCCGCTTTAGGCCAAAGGTCAGTGAGGAGCTCAAGGACCTAATCCTGAAGATGCTAGACAAGAATCCTGAAACAAGGATTGGGGTGCCAGACATCAAGGTTGGGGAGCCAGAGGTCTTGGGCTGGGCTGGTCTTGGACACAACAAACAGGCCTCAATTTCTCCTTCTAGAGAGCCCTACACCAAGATATATAGATTATATATTGGGTTTGGATTTGGGGTTTGTGGGCTTTGGGTCCCCTCAAGGCAATTGCTGGTTGAATGCCTGTGGTCCTTTGCTGACTGGGTGTCTGTCTATCCTGACCTCTCCCTGCCCTCCCAACTTCACAGTTGCACCCCTGGGTGACCAAGAGTGGGGAGGAGCCCCTTCCCTCGGAGGAAGAGCATTGCAGTGTGGTGGAGGTGACGGAGGAGGAGGTGAAGAACTCAGTCAAGCTCATCCCCAGCTGGACCACGGTGGTAAGGGGGTGAGGGGCAGAAGGCTCCCTTGGCCCGGGAGGGCCTAAGGAGGGCATTGCCATTGCCTGAGACTTGCTCTGTGCTGGGCCCTGTTGAGGGACAGAGGGCCATCTGGTCGGCCAGCGCCAGTGCTGATCCATACTGAGGCCCTGCTGGAGGGCAGTGGGGAAGGAGGGCATGTTATTCAGCCTCATGGTAGAGAGACCAGGAGGCTTGGTGAGGAGAGTGAATGATTTAAGAAATATACTGCCCTCACTGAGTGTCAACGTTCACCATGACTGGAAGAAGCATTTCTTTCCTTCCTCCCTTCCTCCCTCCCTCCCTTCCCTCCTTCCCTCCTTCCCTCCTTCCCTCCTTCCCTCCTTCCCTTCCTTCCCTTCCTTCCCTCCTTCCCTCCTTCCCTCCTTCCCTCCCTCCCTTCCTTCCCTCCTTCCCTCCTTCCCTCCCTCCCTCCCTCCCTTCTCCCGCCCTCCTCCCTCTTGCCTTCCCTCCCTGCTTCCAAGTACTGTTCTAGGTGCCAAGGACATGACAGTAAGAAGGCCTAGGAAGCTTTTGAATTGGAGAGGTGGCCCTGTGCCCTTTGGACCCCATCCATGTGCTCCCTCCACTTTCCTCTCACAGTTTTGTTTTTTTCATCTTCCTTTGGACATCTTCCATATTGTTGGAAGTTAGTTCATGTAGCCCCTCGTGGCCACTGAGAACCATGGCCTGCCCTGCACTGGGGTATCACAGCGAGTCGGGGTAATCACAAGGCAAAGGGAGAGCTGGTACCTGTGCTGTAGGTGACATCAGGCCTGTGCACATCAGCCCTCCCTACTGGGTCCAGGCCGAGCTCGAGCCAGGTGGCCAAAGTCCTGCTCATTCCTATGATCTGTATGAGGTCCCTGGAAACAGTCAGCTCCCATAGGGTCTCTACTGCTACATCCTTGGTCTTAGCCACCACTGGAATAGCCTCCCAAGTTGTCCCCTGTTTCCACTCTCACCCCCACTATGGTTGCTGCTCAGTTCAGCAGGCAGGGTGGTCCTAGTGACTAATCGTGTCACTTCAGTTGAGACCGTGCTCACTTAGGCTCCATGTCACTCAGAGTAAGCCACAGCCTTGACCGCCCTAGAAGACACTGCACAGACTGCCCGCCTCCCCCCCCCCCCGCCCCGCTGCCTTACCTCTCCTCTCCTCCGTTTGCTCAGCTCTAACCACGTGCCACCTAAGCTGCTGCTCCAGAACCTTCCTCCCTGGGGGATGCTCCTTGCCCAGATATCTGCAGGGCTCACTTCCTCACTCCCTGAAGGGCCTTTACTCCAAAGTCACCTCAGTGAGAAGGGAGCCTTCCCTGGCCCCTTATCTAAAATTCCCACCTCCTCTTTGTCATACTATATCCTCCCACCTTGTTTTCTTTTTTTCTCCTTAGCCCTTACCACTAACTAGCATATATTCTACTGATTTGTCTTATTTACTGCATGTCCCCCAACTAGAACATAAGCTCCATGAGGGCAAGAATTTTTGCCTCAGTGTGGCGCCCATGCCTAGAACAGCATCTGGCACATGGTAGGCACTCGATAAATAGTTGTTGGTTGAATGAATGAATGAGTAAAAGAACAACTGAATGCCCCCTGACACTAGGCACGTGTGTGTGTTGGGGGGGGCGCCCAGAGCTGTCCTTGGCGCAGCAGGGGGGACAGAGTCAGAGAACCAGGGTGCGGCTTCTGCTTCTCTGCTCCTCCTGCTGCAGCCTCTCCTTCACTCCGTCTGTCCCCCCTCAGCTACAAGGCATTTCCTGATTGCACCCCCCATGTCCTCAGGATAAAGCCCCTGCTTTCAGCCTGGCACTCCAGACCCCTCATGGTCTGCTCCTGACCTCTGGGCACCCCTATGCCCCAGTTGTGCCGAGCACCTCGCCATTCCCAGAATTCACTCTTAACCATCACCCCTTGTGCTCTTGCCATTTCCTCCACTTGGAATTCTCTTCCCCTTTCTCTGTGGACTGAAAGGGAGCCTCAGCAGGGCCCACCCAGGAGCTTTCCCCTTAGGGAGTCAGATTGGAGGCTGCCGGTGTGTCTGGGAGCCTGGAGGTCCTGTGCTCCTCACTCTGTGTGTCCTCCCCAGATCCTGGTTAAGTCCATGCTGAGAAAGCGTTCCTTTGGGAACCCATTTGAACCCCAAGCTCGGAGGGAAGAGCGATCTATGTCTGCTCCAGGAAACTTACTGTCGTAAGTACCAGTGGGCTGTGGCCTGCAGGGTGCTCCCTGGGGTGGGGTGGGGGCTCTCACTGTCACTGGGCTGTGCAGGCTGAGCCTGGAGCCTGGGGTCTCAGCCCGGTCTCAGAGGAGGGCCCCATTTGCACCTCTGTTCTCAGCTCATGGCAGCCTAGTAGAGGTTTGTAGGCATCATGTCTGCTCCTTGTAGAAGGTTGCCTGTCTGTGGAAGGAGAGGCACTTTTGCTGACTCTTCCTGGCCTGGGGGAGTGTTCGCTTTCCTGAGTAGCCCATGCTCCCTCCAGCCATTGCTGAGGCCATGTGCTCAGGCATCACTTTGTAAACGCTTGTCCAGCGAGTAAGTATGGACAGGCAGGCTGATAGGGCCAGGGAAGGGAACTCCCATTTGCCAAAGGCTTCCTGCTGTGCATGGAAGGCATGTGCATTCACCACCTCCTGGGAGAGGTCAGAAAAGCAGCTCCCCAAACCTCTATGAGCCTTGTCCTCAGCTTTTCCACAATTTTCCATTAAAATAAAAGTCAGTTTGGGATGCCAACAAGGCCTGCTGGAGTTTGTGCACAGACCTGCAGAGAGAAAATCGGGAAGGGGTCCTGGACCAGAAGGTGGTCCTGGGACATTGGTTGCCTTCCTCTGGCCTGTGAAGGGTGCTGCAGAGGGGAGACATTGTGCACCCCCGCCCCATCTTCTGCCCCTCCCACCTGCTGTGTGGAGAAGGTGTGCTCCCTAGAGAGGTGAGTGCCACCCGTTATCCGGGTACCTCAGCCTTTCTGGAGGAGAGGCTTGTACTGTGCAGGGGCCCAGACATTGGCTTCGTGTGAGGCCACCCTTTTGTAAGTGGGCTCTTCAGAAGTGTCAGGTCCCATCATGGTGGACAAGCTGGTGTCTGCTCCAGCCAGAGGTTGCTTGTACCCGGTAATGTCCATATACCAACTGTTTGCCCTCCACTTGACAAACTTCCTGGCCAAGGGAGGTGGAGGGGTGGGCCTTTGGAGAGGCCCTGACAGTACTGAGCTTATATTCAGCTCCCCGTCTCTTCTCTGGGCTCCTCTAGGTCTGCAGGCCTCGATGCTGGAATTGGGTTTAGTGTAGGGGATCACATATTTAGCATCCAAACAGAGCCCCTTTTGAGAGTGAAAAAAGGAAGCTGTTACTAATTATGGCAGGACAAAAGGCATTAAGTAGGACCACGATGATGAACAAACCTGGATGGCTGGTTACTCCAGCTCAGTGCCAGTGACTTCGCGCCCTCTAGTGGTGGCACAGGGCAGTCACAGGCTAAAGATACCTAGCCCACGTGTGGCACAGAACTGGGTCCCAAGAATACCACTGAGCAAGGCAGTCCTTAGTTACTGTCCTTTCGTGGACGTGTTAATGGGGAGAAAGGCCAGTTTACTCATCTGGACTGTGAGAGGGTTGGGCTTAATCCTTTTCAGCTATAAAATTCTATAATTCTGTGACCCAAGTTTAATTTTGAAAAGCAGGTTTTACCTCATCAAAGTCCCAACATTTGTCCTTGATAGACTCTGTTTTTTATGCTTTGGGATAATTGGCAAAGCTCTCCAGTGGAGTTAAATGGGGTTGATTTTTTTTATATCACAATCTATTCATCAGTCATTTTAAAAAGAAAAATCTTAGGGGAATAATCAGATACAGGAATCCATTAAATATGACAGAATTCCAAGACTGATAGGTAGACTCTGCCCTGTGAACAAGGCAAAGAAAATACAAAACCAAAGCCCCTCTACCCAGGATGATTGGGGCTGAGCTAGGCCACATGGCAGGCCTGTGACCTAGCTGCTACTCAAGGATGCGGGGGAGTCAGCGGGTCAGCTTGTGAGCAGCTCTGGAAGCCGGGCTGGGAAGTCTGTGCTTCATCTCCAAGCAACAGGGAGCCACAGAAGGTTGTGGGCTGAGACCAGGGATAGGGAGACCGGCAAGGGGCCACAGTTCTGGGGGCAAGACTGAGGCGAACTTGGGGAAATGGTGGTGGTGGAGGGTGGAGTGGGCAGGGGGCAGTGGTTGAGAAACTGTGGAAAGGAATGGCTGTGTGTGTGTGTGTGTGTGTGTGTGTGTGTCTTTCTGAGTGCATGTTCTGACCCCTGAGGTCCCTCTGCCCCTGGTGTCCCCTGAACAGGAAAGACAGGTGTGGTGAAGGGGGCAAGAGCCTGGAGCTCCCCGGCGTCCAAGAAGATGAGGCTGCATCCTGAGCCCCTGCATGCGCCCAGGGCCACCGGCAGCACGCTCATCCCACGCCTCCAAAGGCCCACTGCCCTCATGCCGACAGCCGCCCCTGCGGGCAGGGGGTTGAGGACTGTGGCCCCTCTTCCGGCCCTCCTCCTTCTGTCATGCTGCATGACCTCAGCGCACAAGTCCAGGGACAGGATTGGAATGTTCGTCATCTGGGGTTTGGGGGCAGGGCTCCCAGGAGGCCTTTCTCCTCGTCCTGGCTCTCCCTGGGGGGACCCATCCTGTGGGAAAGAGAGGTACCCGTGGTGCCTTAGAAACCCCACCTGGCTCGCTGGCAAGGCAAGAGGTAGGAAACCAAGCTAGCAGGTGGAGGCCTTGTTTACCACCACGGCAGAGACCTCCTACTGGGAGTCAGGCAGGCCTGGCTCAGTTGCCTCATACACACATGGAAGGCTGTACCTTGCCCACCTCAGGGGTTCCTGCAAGAGCTCTTGTCTACTGAGAATGCTGATAGGGAGGCTCTGAGCCCTCAGGGGGGTATTCCTGGGCCTCACTGAGGCAGGGGCCAGCATTAGAGGATTCAGATTCCTTTTTTGTTGTCTCTTACTTTTAACATTGCGGCGGGAGGGTGGTGGTTCCCTCCCAAGGTGTTCCCTCCTTGGGAACATCTAGAAAGCTCTCCCATGGCTTTGGGTGGTCCCCAGCACACTCACCATTATTTGGCAGCCAGGTGGGGTGGACTGACTTTCCTTGATTGTTTCACACTCGGTGCCATCTGGAGAATGGGTTAAATGAAAGCTCTGGGCAGAGGCCTGAGCCAGGAGCACCCACCTTGCCTGCCCATTTTACTCCCTCCCTGCATGGCTCCCCTGTAGAAGAGACACCAGGGGCAGGCCTGACCAACGGCCCTGGACTCACAGGGCTGTGGCCTTGCAGATGCTGAAGTAACTGGAATCCAACCTCTGATCCTACACTGGCCTGCCCATCTGGCCCCAGAAGCTGCCCTCACATTCCTACAACGAAGGACAAACTGCCCAGGTTGGAGGCAGCGCTGGAAGTGGGACCCTGGTGGGGTGTGCATGCTGGCAGGTGGCCACAGAGAGGTGGGCCTCCTGCCGCTGCCTCACCCCCAAGACGGTTGACATTCAGCCTGCACAGAGCTGGTGTGCTGGAGCATGTGTGTGGAGCTGGCCATGCTGGGGCAGACTTGATCTTCTCCCTGGAATCTATGCCTGGCTGGCTCGGCATTTACCACCAAATCCTCAAGAGATTGACCCCCAAAGGAAAATAAAACAGGCCTCAGATACCTCCCCTGAAAACATGGGCCAAACAAGGGATTTCAGTTGCCTGTGTGGGGCTCCTACTGCAGGAAGGCTGGTGCTGAAAAAGAAAGGGAGGCTGGGCTGGAGGAGCATCTGTGTCCTGCTCATCTTTGTGCCTGTGGGTATATGTCGCACCTCCATGCACATGCATGTGCGTGCCCATCTGCTGCACACAGCACACCTGCATGTCTTGCACTGGCACATGCATCTGTAATATAGTTTCTTTGTGTCTTTAAGGCTATGAGCAGAATGTGGCTCATTGTCAGTGGGCCCACATTTCTCCCTAGCTCCTCTGCACTAAGGCATCGTAACCCAGGGCTTAAAAAATAATTCGGTACTGTTTTTAAGAACACTTTTTTTAGAAATCATGGGAGGCTAATCACAGGTCTACAAGTCTCCCTGAGCATCTCTGCACTGGGGCCTGGAGGGTGGGAGTTTCAAGGGGCTACATCAATTAGGCCTGCCCTCGCAGACCTCAGAGGTGGGCCTGGCTTCATTGCCCATGTCAGAGCCTGGATGGGGTGCTCACCCCATTGCTGAGGGTTTTGGTTGGCGTATTGTTCTTGAATGTAGCACAAGTGATGAACAAACTCCATAAGAGTGTTTTAAAAACTAACTTCCCAGGAAGTGAGTTAAAAACAATAAAAGCCCTTTCTTGAGTTAAAAACAACAAAACAAAAACTTTGTGTGTACATTTTCAATATCTGGATGTGTGCTCTTTCTCACCAACTGGACCCCTGGCTTTGCTAGTTGTTCTGGAAGAGTCTGAGCAGGACAGTGGTGAGAGGAGCTCTGGGGTGGGGGGACAGGCAGGGAGTGAGAAGGAGGCAAGGAGGGAGAGGGAGGGAGAAAGGCTGGCTCTGGAGGGTGAGAAGCTACAGTCAAGGATGTGACTCCATCTCCTGAATGGGTTCTGTGGCCCTTCCTTAGGAAGAACAGGATGTTTAGGAGCCAGTGGGATGCCCATGTTTCACAGGGACCCAGGAAACCCAAGGTCTGGTCCTTGGGAGCCGTCACCACTCCCCATGGGGCAAAAGTCCCAGTGGAGCAGCACAGGAGTCCCTGTGACACGTGTCCAATGTCTTTACTGTGCCCCTTTAGCCTTGGGCACTGGCATGGGCTTTTTGCACCCTGTAGCTCCCTGCTCATAGTAGGCCCTCCATGGCCATCGTGAAAAGAGTCATCAGTGAGGTCAGACAGCCTTGAGCTTGAATCCAAGCTTTTCCACTTAATAGCTGTGTGTGACCTTTGGCAAAGCCATCGGAGGAGTCTTGGTTCCCTCATTGGTAGAATGTGGATCATATCAGCACCTCGGGGGGTTCTTGTGAAGTTAAATGAAGTCCTTGGGCCAAGCATCTGATACAGTACTCAGTATATAGTAAGTACTCAGCAAATGAGGCCCTTAAAAGAAAAAGAACTTTCTGTTTCTGGGGCTCTCTGGAACCAGCCTTAGAGGCCATGGGCTCAGCACATCTTGCATGATTGGTATTTACCTATCTGTGGAGTTCCCAGCTGGGTGAAATGAGACCAACCAGGAGACCAAGCCAAAGGCTACCCAGCATGCTGCTCAGTTTTTCCATCTGAGAAATGGATACCAAAGCTGTTATTGCATGTTTCCTGGTCATCCTGGGAAGGTCCCATGAGGGACTGTACCAAGCCCTCTCTAAGAGGGGCACTGGTGGCCAGGCAGAAGTTTCCCAAATGCCAAGACCAGTAAGTAGGTCTATCCCCACTTCCTCCCCACCATCTCTCACTTCCTCACTGGTCTCCTGGCCTTGGTCCTTAGGACTCTAAACCGTCCTCTTACTGGCTACCAGAGCAATCTCCAGGCACCCCCCTGACCATGCCCATCCGCCCATCCCTCTCAGAACCCTTCCAGGTTTCTCCAGTGATCAGCCTGGCATTTGAGGCCCCTGCCATCAGCCCTGCTACCCTCTGGATGCTCTCCTGACCATGCCCCACACTCCATTCACTCCTTACTCCCCACGGCTCTTCAGGCCCACCCACTCCTCTAGAACACTGCCTTCCCCCAACCCCTGCCTCTGCTTGTCAAAGTCAGCCTCACCTCCAAGGGGGTGGTTCATCCCAAGTGTTGGGCCACCAAGTCCTGGGTCTGGGTTTGACAGGCCAGATCATCATGCATAAGAACTTTGAATAGGACCATAGGTGCATGATGTCATTTCCCCACGAGGACAACCACTCTAGGAGGCACACTGTGGTAGGGAAACTGAGGCCTAGGAAACAGTCTCACTCAGTTACATAGCAAGTCAGGGAAGAGCCAGACTAGAGCCCAGATCCCTTGTCTACCCACCCCACCCAGGTCTTCCCACATCAGCTGCCAGGAAAATGGAGAACCCTATTCAGGGAAAGGACATCTAGGAAAACCAGAGACAGGGGCTGCATTTCCAAGCCTAACCACACAAGAGAGGGGAGCCCAAGCCAGCGGTGTCCAGCTGGAGGCTAGGGGACAGTTGGGTTTGTCCTTGGAGGCCCTGATTACTTGCAGAGAATCTCTTTGGGCTCTGGAACCTACAGGCACTTTGTCTGGTCTCTGCTCCTCCCAATCCCTATCATCCTGTATGGTCTCAGCCTGAAGTAGAAGGGGGGGGGGGACCTCAAGGCCACTAAGGTTTCCAATTTCCCAGGGGGACACCCAGACACATACTGGGACCCATATAAACACCCCACAAATTACTTAGTCTCTCTCGCTCTCTCTCTCTCTCTCTCTCACACACACACACACACACACATAGACACGAGGCCTACACACCTACATAACCTCCCCTTGGGCAAACAAGCAGGCCTGCCTCCTAGGCCATTGGGACTCTGCCAAGGGAAGCCAGGGGAAGCCATGCAATGGATGGTACTGGACCCTGAGGGTCAACTGAGGCTCAGGAGGAGACCAGGAGGGTCTGGGGAAGGGTGTGCCCCCCATCTCACCTGCAGAACAGAGTCCTGGCCTGCAAGGACTCCCTGCACCACTCCAGCCTCCTGCTAGACTGCGTGGCCATGGCTTAAATGACCATCTCCTGTCCAGGTCCCCTCTGTCATACACACACAGATCTGGCTTTTCCCTCTGGGATCTCAGACTCATTTATTTCTCCAGCTAGGATGCCCCAGGGAACAAAGTCTCAATCCTTTCATTCTCCACGGCAGCTGCCAGTCCCCTCCCACATCAAGCTGACCAGTTTGTCATTAGCCCCTCCTAGCTTTGCGGCCAGCCTCCCTGCCCTCCCCACTGCCTAGGCCCCCACCATCCCCAAGTCACCTCCTCCAGGAAGCCTTCCCTTGTCATAGCCCCAGAGACACCCTTGGCATGTGGTCTGGTGTCTAGTCCATTTCCTACAAGACTGGAATCAGGGCCTAGGAATTGCAACCTCCCCCACTGACTGAGTCACTTTCTCAACCTATATCTGCCCACTGACTCTTCCACCATGATGACCATTCAAAGAGCATCTCTCAGCTGAATCACAAGATGGGGTCTTCCCTCTGGAGACCCCATTCTCTCCACTTTGATCCCTAGTAAGGCCCTTCTCTGGCCTGTATATCACTGGCTTTTTCTGGTCCCATGTTCCTGTTCCTCAGCCTGAAAACTACTAGCTCAGGCCTCCCCTATAGCTATAACCCAGATTTCCACCCCCTTGGCTTTCCGAAGGCTACTTGCCTTACACTCCTGGGCATGTAGGAGGAAACCCCTCCTGCCTTCTCTCTCAGATGCCCTCTGCTCTGGCTTCTTCTTTCCTGTTCCTGCCTGGCTCACTCTGTCCCATTCCCCGCAAGACCGGTCACTTTCCTAGCCATGGTCCA